CTGCACAACAGAATCACCACCCCACTACTCACCGGAAGAAGAGCTCGATAACAAGACGCCTCGCCGCGAGTCACTCCAACCGAATCCGACATACGCCGCCATTGTTCAAAGCGAACCGTCCGGCCAAGACACTTGGTTCTTGGACAATTGCTGCGGACAACATATGTGCTCCTCCGGGCGCTTCGTTCAACGCGAGCATCGACTCCAGCGAGAAGTAGTCATCACGGTCGCCAACAATCAGAACCTGCGCACACGACGACAAGGAGTGGTACAGCTTCAGTCACGAGAGACAAATGTCATATTACACATGTCAAAGGTACTCATCGCGGAGGGACTCGGCTATAACTTACTGAGTGTCAGCCAGTTGATGGCGAAAGGTATTCACTTGGAAGCCGACAGCACTACACAGGAGTTCAAGTTGTACCACGGGAAGGGCGGCCTCTACCTCGGAAGGGCGGTGTTGAAGAACAACGTCTTCGTCCTCGATTTCGTCCCCGACCTGGGTACTGCAGATAGCGACGCCATCGTCAACTTCGCCGATTGGACACATCCCCCGGATCTCGATCCCGACTTCAGCCCGGGAGGCTTCTGGTACTCGCACACCATACCTGAAGCAGAACGAACACGCGCATTAGCAACGATTCAACAATCGGCAGCAGCAGAGACAACATCGGCAGCAGCAAAAACAACATCATCAGCAGCAACAACATCGGCAGCAGAAGAAACAACATTAGCAGCAGCAACATCATCGGCAGCAGCAGGACCAACGACACCAACCCCCGTCAACGAAGCACCACCAACACCCGCACAGCAGCTGAACCCGACTCAACGAGAAGTCCACAGAAGCGCACACTTCGTCGCCAGCTTCTACTCCAACTCCGACGCGTATCAACGCTCACCCGGACATCGCGCTCCTGAAGACATCTGGCACGCACGCACAGGACATCCAAGCAACACAGTGTTAAATAACACAATTCGAGCAGGAGTTCTAGACAAGGACTCGCTACTACTACCCGACGGCAGAGAACTTCAACGTGCACGAGGAACTTGCCTTATCTGCCCCGAAGCCGACTTACCCCATCGACCGTTTTCTTCTCACCACAACCCAAGCGCACCTACATACGCACCACTCGAGAAGGTGTACAGCGACATCCTCTACAATGGCGAACCAGGACAAGTCACCTACAATTATACGATTACCTTCATCGACGCCGCCACTCGATATGTCTGGCATCTAAACCTACCAAGCCGCGACATGGCACTCGCAGCGTTCGCCGCCTGGCTACCAGTAGCAGAACGAGAGTCGGGAGCACAGCTGAAAAGCTTCCAGTCAGACGGAGGAGGAGAATACACCTCTCAGCGCTTCAAGCAGTACCTGGCGGAAAGAGGAATCAAGCAACTCCTCTCCCTTCCCTACGCCCATCAGCAGCAAGGTGTCGCACAAACAATGAACAGGACTCTGCAGAACAGCATGCGCAAACTGCTACGTGGCATGCGGCTACCCAACCACCAGTGGCCTGCAGCAATGGACCATGCTGTCATGCTGCACAACTTGCTGTCGTCGTCGTCACTCCCGAACAACGCATCACCGCACCTGCTGTGGACAGGGAAGCAGGGCAGCACAAAAATGTTACGAGTTTTCGGGTGCATGGTACAGTACCGACCCCCAGAAGCACGAGCGGGAAGATTTTCACAACGGGCACAGTGGGGACTACACCTCGGCATCGAGAAAAATTACAACGCGTGGAAAATCTTCGACGTCCACTCAAAGGAAACAGTAGCAGCACGTGATGTGATCTTCTACGAGCGACTCACCCTTCAAACGTACCTCGCCAACTTGCACGAGAATCAAAATTTCACAGGTGGCTTTCGCGGTGACCGAGCCTTCGCCTCAGCAGCGGACGAAGCAAACTGGGATGAACAGAACGTCGACAACGCATCGGAAGAAGCCGGACCTCTCCCGTTCTGCTCCGTCAACGTGCCCATGGACGAAGAAAATCCTCGCGACAGTGCCAACGCCGAAGTCTTCTATCACTTTGCCGACAACGGTTACGTAACACCTGCGACAGTCAACACAAATGAAGCAGAACGGATAGGGCCAAATTTCATACCCGATCCAGAAGCGGGAGACGAAGCAGCTTATCCCGAGGATCCAACACTCCCCCGATACTCACAGACTGGGCTGCAAATCCTCGGCCTCGTCACCGCAGTGCACGGCAACGCGCTTCCTAAGGAGCCTGCGACGATTCAGCAGGCTCTGGGGGGGGAACACAGGGAGAAATGGCGTGAAGCCATGGACAGAGAACTAAAGGCATTGGAGGAACGCAACACCTGGAAGGTCGTTCCCGCAAGCGTGGCAAGGAACAAGACTATTCTCACCGGGAAATGGGTCTTCCGCATCAAAACGAAAGCAGACGGCACGATCGAGAAATTCAAAGCACGCTGGGTCGTGCGTGGATTCGATCAGGAGCAAGGACGAGACTTCACCGAGACATTCGCCCCAGTCAGTCGACATACCTCTCTCCGAATCCTTCTCGCCGTCGCCGCCATGAAGAAGAAGAAGCTGCGACAAATTGATGTCGCCAATGCATTCCTCTACGCACCCGTCGACGCCGAAATCTTCGTCGAACTCCCACACGGTACCCACGGAAACCCCAATCAGATCTGTCAACTACTGAAATCTCTCTACGGAATCACACACCCGCCTTACTCGCATCGGATTTCGTCAACTACCTCACGACCAAGGGATGTACCGACTCACCAAAGACGCAGACTACATCCTGCTGATAGTCTATGTTGACGACTTGCTCTACATCGGCTCCACCGACGACGTCACCACCTGGTTCGAAGGGGAGCTGCAGAAGGACCTCACGCTCACGGTCTCTTCTACCGTCACGCAGTACCGCGGGCTCAACATCCGCGAAGAAGAAAATGTGATCCATCTAAGCGCCGAGAAATACGCCGACACGATCGCCAAGCGTTTTTCGCTCACACCTACCGCTATCGCCACGCCATACCGCTACACGGCAGGAGATGACAAAGGAAATTCCGCTCCACTCAAAGCTGCCGGAATACGAGACTACCAGAGGAAACTGGGCTGCCTCCTCTTCGCAGCCGTCACCTGTCGCCCGGATCTATCCTACTCCGCAAGCCAACTCGCTACCTACCTCAAGAAACCCGAAGCAGAGCACCTGGCGGAGCTCGATCGCGCACTGCACTATTTCGTGAGCACGCCGACGATCGGCCTGACTTACTACAAGAACGAAGCTACGTCAACGAAACTAATCGGCTACGTCGATGCCGACCATGCCGGCGATTCAGATAACAGGCGCTCTCGCACTGGCTATGTCTATCGTCTAGAGCCTATCGGACTTATCTCCTGGCAGTCGAGTAAGCAGGAACTAATCGCTCTCTCCTCAGCTGAAGCAGAATATATCGCCCTTTGCTCAGCCACCAAGGAAGGACTCTACCTTCGCGAGCTGCTGGAAGAAGCAAAGTTAGCCGAGTTACCCAACTTCACCTTGTTCTGCGACAACCAATCCGCAATTCGCATCGCCAACAAGAGCGAATTCGCGAACAGAACGAAGCATATCGCCCTACGATACTTCTTCGTGAAAGACGAAATCGAGAAAAGGAAACTCGATCTATCCTACTGTCCCACGTCCGAGATGGCAGCCGACTACTTGATCAAGAAACTTGGAAAACAGAAGTTCGAGTACTGCATGCTGCTGACTGGACAAAGCCACGTCACCATCAGCGACACTCCAGAAGCGAAGGGGAGTGTTGGGAACGAATAAGTTAAGCGCCTCTGTCGTGTCGAAACTCAGGACACAAAGCGAAGAAGTCCAAATCGAAGCATCGCGAGTCAACCCTCGGAGGTTAGGGTAACCGCCTGGAGGTTACGCGAAGGTCAAAGGTCAGCGACCTTTGACTTGACCAATACAGCGCGACAGCAAGGACACACAACTGACTCGACATTGAGCAGTTGCCCGAGTCGCACTGTATCGAATCGCAACAGCAAGGTAGTTTAATTACATCTATTCGTATTCCTTGTACTCTTATATAAAGCTTTGTATTTGCCTGTTTTAATTAACTTACTTTGCCCTCACATACCAGCGCAAGGTGGTTCAAGGCTTTCGTATTCAACGCTTCCGCTATTACATCATCCTACTCAAACTTTAACTCTACAAAGATTCTAGGGCACCTCAACCCAACAAATTGATTGTTCTGCCCATTACCATTTGCGTTTACATTTTCTCAGAGGTATTTTTTGCTAGCATACTAGAGAAAGCACTGGATTTGTTTTTTCTCAAATCCTCGGGTGCTCCAAACTCAATGAGTTGCCCAAGTTCCAAGACAAGAACCTGAAAAGAGGGGATTGATTGTGAATAAACCAGAATATATAAGTTTTTTAGCAGGTAAGACGTGTGCACCAAGGGAGGACACGCGTAAGGTAGGTGTGGGGTGTGCGTGCGTAGGGTGTTGGCATGAAGGGTGTGCGCACATGCACTCACAGACGTTGGCATGAAGGGTGTGCGCGCATGCACTCACAGACGTTGGCATTAAGGGTGTGCGCACATGCACTCACAGACATTGGCATGAAGGGTGTGCGCGCATGCACTCACAGACGTTGGCATGAAGGGTGTGCGCGCATGCACTCACAGACATTGGCATGAAGGGTGTGCGCACATGCACTCACAGACGTTGGCATTAAGGGTGTGCGCACATGCACTCACAGACGTTGGCATTAAGGGTGTGCGCACATGCACTCACAGACATTGGCATGAAGGGTGTGCGCGCATGCACTCACAGACGTTGGCATGAAGGGTGTGCGCGCATGCACTCACAGACGTTGGCATGAAGGGTGTGCGCGCATGCACTCACAGACGTTGGCATGAAGGGTGTGCGCACATGCACTCACAGACGTTGGCATGAAGGGTGTGCGCGCACACATCACATGGACGTGAGCAGGAGGCACACACAACGCTCTTCTGACTTGCCTGGTCGTAATCAAGAACGGTCGAGAGGCGGTGTGCAATGGTGATGACGGTGCTATCCTTAAATGACTCCCGTAGAATGGCTTTAATTACTGCATCGCTCTCCCCATCCATGCTCGCTGTCGCTTCATCCATCAGCAACACGCGTGTCGATGCAAGCAAAGCTCTGCATAGAAATCAAATACCATCAGAAAGCAAGAGAGAGAGAAAAAAACCGAATAAAGACTGTAACCAATAATAAGGGCGCGTCAGATCCGTTACAAGGTGATTTGGCCGGAATTGGTCGACAATTTGGTCGACTATATCTTTCGCCAAAGTCGACAACATGGTCGACTTCAATAACGACCAATATCCGGCCACATTTACAGGGCCGAAAAATCTGACACATTTGGTGGCCGATTTGATGGCCGCTTTGCAAATGTGTCAGATTTGCAGTTCGCCAGGGTCGCCGGATTGTGCGACGGAATCGCAGATGCAGTACTTGTGTGACACGTTGCGTCGCACGAGTTGGCGACGTCGCGTAGTGACTGTAGCGATCTCAGGTCGACAAATTGGTCGACTTTCGAGTCGACTGCACGTCGGAACTTTGTCGAATGCTGAACCGGCCATCAATTTTTTTACAAATGGCCGGATTTGGCGAACTCTTCGAAAATCTTTGCGGATGTCGCGAATGTGTTACCTTCGCTAATTCCGGCCGGCCGGATTTTTCCGACAACGGATCTGACGCACCCTAACAGTATCACCGTGTAGGATTCTGAGACAGAGATAAGACCTGCACTGTGATTGACCCCAAAATCATTCCCTTGGCGGTACCGTGCGAGGCAGAGAAGCTGCTTCTGCCCCAGGGAGAGGTTCCCCCCGCCCTGAGCCAGGGCACCATCCAGCTCGCCCAGCAGCCCCGACACCAGCGGCTTTAGGCGCACCTTTGAGGCCCCTCAAAAGTATCCTCTTAGGCGTACCTTGCAAGGCAGAGCAGTTGCCTCTGCCCCAGGGACAGGTTTCCACCGCCCTGAGCCAGGGCACCATCCAGCCCGCCCAGCAGCCTCGCCACCAGCGGCTTTAGGCGCACTGTTGCCAGCACCGACCACAGGGCCTCGTCACTGTGCTGCCTGTGAATGGGGGAATGGGCGGTGGTGAGGTGGGGTGTGGGAGGGTGAATGGACTTTTGAGTTGACTAAACAGTTAGTCACCAGCGGCTTCAGGAGCACCGTTGCCAGCACCAACCACAGGGCCTCGTCACTGTGCTGCCTGTGATGGGGCATGGGGGGTGGTGAGGTGGGGTATGGAAGGGTGCAAGTGATTTCTGAGTTGACTGAAAAGCGGCCACCAGCGGCTTTACGCGCACCGTTGCCAGTACTGCCCTGCTCACAGGGACTCGTCATTGTGCAGGCTGTGATAGGGGAACGAGAGGGATAAAGCACAGGATGGGAGGGAATGGGGGGTGCGAAACGGGGTTTGGGAGGGTGACTGTGCACAAGAGGAGAGGCTTAACGCGTGAGGGAGAGTGACACATGTGAGGTGCGGCGAGAAGATGAACAGCTGGAAAAAATGCCACAAAAAGGCCACAAAAAGGGCACAAAGTTTCAATAGCGTCCTGTCGCTGATTCCTGATCAGAAAGAGGAGTCATACCCCATGGGATCAAGGTTGAATCGCAATGACTGGCTGAAAAGAACCGGCTCTTGAGGAATGGCCACCACCTGCAACAGGGGAGACCGATGAAAACGGGGACAAGGGATCGAGAAAGGGAATATTTACTTATAACTTCTTAGAGAGCTGCCAACAGATGGGGAAAAGGCTACTTGGCAGGATTGCGGGAGGTGTTTCAGTCAACTCAAGAATGTTACTTTGTTGCTTTCCTTATTTTGCAGGGTTGCGACTACATTTTGAGTTGAGTCAAGAAAGTTTCTTAATCTCTTACCTTACTTCGCAGAGTTGCGAGTGGCAGCGATGCAATGTCCACATCATCGATGCAGATGCTGCCTGAAGACGCTTCCACCAACCGCAGCAGATGGAGGAAATGCTACGTGTAATGTCACTGCTTACCTTACTGCGCAGGGTGGCGAGGGGAAGTGATGCAATGTCCAAATCATCAATGTGAATGGTCCCCGAAGACGATTCTACCAACCGCAGCAGCGCGAGCATGAGGGTCGACTTGCCTGCACCTGATAGGTTGAGACATGACAGACCACACATAACAGCCAGCCAGCACGGTCTCAAGTCTTTTTACAAAGGCACATGGGCACTTATTACAGAAGCCCAGAAAGCATTCATATCAAGTATAATGGCAACCCCACCCCACGTATCCCCTCACCTGTTCGCCCCACCACGCCGCACTTCTCTCCCCCCGCGAGCCGAAAGCTCAAGCTGCGCAGCACTGCAAGCCCTGAACTGCCATACCGCACTGTCAGCTGCTCCACTCGCACTGCCCCTGCTGACGGCCACAAGGGGCAAACGGCGCTTCTGCTGTTCCTCTCCTCCTCCTCCTGGCTGTTTGGTGCTGCATCAGTGGCTTGGCAGTGGGTGAAGGGCGGATTGCAAGAGAATTGTGGCTTGATGATGTTGTCCATCTTAAAGGACAGGCGCCTGATTGCTGTTTGCAGTGCTCCGAACAGCAAGCTGGGTACGGAGGATTTGGTGGTGGGGCCTTCCTGCTGCTGCCGCTGCTGCTGCTGCTGCTGTTGTCGTTGCTGCTGCTGCAGCTGCTGCCACTTGTTGTGCGGCTGATGCTTGGATTTACTTTTGGCAGGTGTGGGCTCTTCACCTGGCAGCGTGGTGTACTCGAGTGTGCGCTCAACACTCGTGAACTGGCATGGACGGGGTGGGGTGTCAGAGGGGCAGGGATGAAACGATGCAGGTTATTGAGTTAGGAAAGTGCACGATGGACGTGCCCCCTGTGGTTCTTGCAACCATATCAAGGCATGAGAATGGGATGTGGAGATCGAGCGTGCATCATCATCAAGCTGCTTCAAATAAGAGGTAAGAGAGCACAAGGGTGTTTGCCTCTCTAGTATTCATCCTATGGGTGCATGAGAATGGGATGTGAAGCGACGCATAAGACTTAAGAGAGCACTAGAGTGTTTGCTTCTCTATCGGCACACGGTGCGGAAGGAGTGAATGGTGCGGAAGGAGTGAACGGTGCGGAAGGAGTGAACAGTGCAGCACATCATGAAAGAAGGAGCCGTGTTTTGAGTCGACTCAAAACACGAAGGAGTGAACAGTGCAGCACATCAGGAACGAAGGAGCACATTCCTGGTTCCCACCCCACCCCGCCACGGTGCTCCTTCGTTCATGGTGCACGTGCCTCACTTCCCTCACACCCATGAGCATCGCAACAATCGCTCGCACCCTGGTCCCTTGCCTCGACCATGTTCTCCAGCTCTGATTCTTTACATGTTCCCTCAAACTTTGGCTCATCACACACGGTCCCTGGCCATTACACACGGTCCCTGGCCATGACACACGGTCCCTGGCCATTACACACGGTCCCTGGCCATTACACACGGTCCCTGGCCATGACACACGGTCCCTGGCCATTACACACGGTCCCTGGCCATTACACACGGTCCCTTGCCACGACACACGGTCCCTGGCCATTACACACGGTCCCTGGCCATTACACACGGTCCCTGGCCATGACACACGGTCCCTGGCCATTACACACGGTCCCTGGCCATTACACACGGTCCCTGGCCATTACACACGGTCCCTGGCCATTACACACGGTCCCTGGCCATGACACACGGTCCCTGGCCATTACACACGGTCCCTGGCCATTACACACGGTCCCTTGCCATTACACACGGTCCCTTGCCATTACACACGGTCCCTTGCCATTACACACGGTCCCTGGCCATTACACACGGTCCCTGGCCATGACACACGGTCCCTGGCCATTACACACGGTCCCTGGCCATTACACACGGTCCCTGGCCATTACACACGGTCCCTGGCCATTACACACGGTCCCTTGCCATTACACACGGTCCCTGGCCATTACACACGGTCCCTTGCCATTACACACGGTCCCTTGCCATTACACACGGTCCCTTGCCATTACACACGGTCCCTTGCCATTACACACGGTCCCTTGCCATTACACACGGTCCCTTGCCATTACACACGGTCCCTTGCCATTACACGCGGTCCCTTGCCATTACACACGGTCCCTTGCCATTACACACGGTCCCTTGCCATTACACACGGTCCCTTGCCATTACACACGGTCCCTGGCCATGACACACGGTCCCTGGCCATTACACACGGTCCCTGGCCATGACACACGGTCCCTGGCCATTACACACGGTCCCTGGCCATTACACACGGTCCCTGGCCATGACACACGGTCCCTGGCCATTACACACGGTCCCTGGCCATGACACACGGTCCCTGGCCATTACACACGGTCCCTGGCCATTACACACGGTCCCTTGCCATTACACACGGTCCCTGGCCATTACACACGGTCCCTTGCCATTACACACGGTCCCTTGCCATTACACACGGTCCCTTGCCATTACACACGGTCCCTTGCCATTACACACGGTCCCTTGCCATTACACACGGTCCCTTGCCATTACACACGGTCCCTTGCCATTACACACGGTCCCTTGCCATTACACACGGTCCCTTGCCATTACACACGGTCCCTTGCCATTACACACGGTCCCTTGCCATTACACACGGTCCCTTGCCATTACACACGGTCCCTTGCCATTACACACGGTCCCTTGCCATTACACACGGTCCCTGGCCATTACACACGGTCCCTGGCCATTACACACGGTCCCTGGCCATGACACACGGTCCCTGGCCATTACACACGGTCCCTGGCCATTACACACGGTCCCTTGCCATTACACACGGTCCCTTGCCATTACACACGGTCCCTTGCCATTACACACGGTCCCTGGCCATTACACACGGTCCCTGGCCATGACACACGGTCCCTGGCCATTACACACGGTCCCTGGCCATTACACACGGTCCCTGGCCATTACACACGGTCCCTGGCCATTACACACGGTCCCTTGCCATTACACACGGTCCCTGGCCATTACACACGGTCCCTTGCCATTACACACGGTCCCTTGCCATTACACACGGTCCCTTGCCATTACACACGGTCCCTTGCCATTACACACGGTCCCTTGCCATTACACACGGTCCCTTGCCATTACACACGGTCCCTTGCCATTACACACGGTCCCTTGCCATTACACACGGTCCCTTGCCATTACACACGGTCCCTTGCCATTACACACGGTCCCTTGCCATTACACACGGTCCCTTGCCATTACACACGGTCCCTTGCCATTACACACGGTCCCTTGCCATTACACACGGTCCCTTGCCATTACACACGGTCCCTTGCCATTACACACGGTCCCTTGCCATTACACACGGTCCCTTGCCATTACACACGGTCCCTTGCCATTACACACGGTCCCTTGCCATTACACACGGTCCCTTGCCATTACACACGGTCCCTTGCCATTACACACGGTCCCTTGCCATTACACACGGTCCCTTGCCATTACACACGGTCCCTTGCCATTACACACGGTCCCTTGCCATTACACACGGTCCCTTGCCATTACACACGGTCCCTTGCCATTACACACGGTCCCTTGCCATTACACACGGTCCCTTGCCATTACACACGGTCCCTTGCCATTACACACGGTCCCTTGCCATTACACACGGTCCCTTGCCATTACACACGGTCCCTTGCCATTACACACGGTCCCTTGCCATTACACACGGTCCCTTGCCATTACACACGGTCCCTTGCCATTACACACGGTCCCTTGCCATTACACACGGTCCCTGGCCATTACACACGGTCCCTTGCCATTACACACGGTAGTTTACATGTTGGGAAGTTACTGGCTTTCAGAGAGGAATCAAAAGCTTCCTCGCCTCACCGTGTCCCTTCGCCTCGTCTCATCCTGTCCCTTCGCTTCACCCTCTCCCTCCCTTCGCTTCACCCTCTCCCTCCCTTCGCTTCACCCTCTCCCTCCCTTCGCATCACCCTCTCCCTCCCTTCGCTTCACCCTCTCCCTCCCTTCGATTCAACCTCTCCCTACCTTCGCTTCACCCTCTCCCTCCCTTCGCTTCACCCTCTCCCTCCCTTCGCTTCACCCTCTCCCTCCCTTCGCATCACCCTCTCCCTCCCTTCACTTCACCCTCTCCCTCCCTTCGCTTCAACCTCTCCCTCCCTTCGATTCACCCTCTCCCTCCCTTCGCTTCACCCTCTCCCTCCCTTCGCTTCACCCTCTCCCTCCCTTCAATTCAACCTCTCCCTACCTTCGCTTCACCCTCTCCCTCCCTTCGCTTCACCCTCTCCCTCCCTTCGCTTCACCCTCTCCCTCCCTTCGCTTCACCCTCTCCCTCCCTTCGCTTCACCCTCTCTCTCCCTTCGCTTCACCCTCTCCCTCCTTTCGATTCAACCTCTCCCTACCTTCGCTTCACCCTCTCCCTCCCTTCTCTTCAACCTCTCCCTCCCTTCGCTTCAACATCTCCCTACCTTCGCTTCACCCTCTCCCTCCCCTTCGCTTCACCCTCTCCCTCCCTTCGCTTCACCCTCTCCCTCCCTTCGCTTCACCCTCTCCCTCCCTTCGCTTCACCCTCTCCCTCCCTTCGCTTCACCCTCTCCCTCCCTTCGATTCAACCTCTCCCTACCTTTGCTTCACCCTCTCCCTCCCTTCGCTTCAACCTCTCCCTCCCTTCGCTTCAACATCTCCCTACCTTCGCTTCACCCTCTCCCTCCCTTCGCTTCACCCTCTCCCTCCCTTCGCTTCACCCTCTCCCTCCCTTCAATTCAACCTCTCCCTACCTTCGCTTCACCCTCTCCCTCCCTTCGCTTCACCCTCTCCCTCCCTTCGCTTCACCCTCTCCCTCCCTTCGCTTCACCCTCTCCTCCCTTCGCTTCACCCTCTCCCTCCCTTCGCTTCACCCTCTCCCTCCTTTCGATTCAACCTCTCCCTACCTTCGCTTCACCCTCTCCCTCCCTTCTCTTCAACCTCTCCCTCCCTTCGCTTCAACATCTCCCTACCTTCGCTTCACCCTCTCCCTCCCCTTCGCTTCACCCTCTCCCTCCCTTCGCTTCACCCTCTCCCTCCCTTCGCTTCACCCTCTCCCTCCCTTCGCTTCACCCTCTCCCTCCCTTCGCTTCACCCTCTCCCTCCCTTCGATTCAACCTCTCCCTACCTTCGCTTCACCCTCTCCCTCCCTTCGCTTCAACCTCTCCCTCCCTTCGCTTCAACATCTCCCTACCTTCGCTTCACCCTCTCCCTCCCTTCGCTTCACCCTCTCCCTCCCTTCGCTTCACCCTCTCCCTCCCTTCGCTTCACCCTCTCCCTCCCTTCGCTTCACCCTCTCCCTCCCTTCGCTTCACCCTCTCCCTCCCTTCGCTTCACCCTCTCCCTCCCTTCGCCTCTCACCCTCTTCCCTCGCCTCAAAGTATACTGAGAAGTTTTCTGTTTACAATGTTCTCTCCCTGTCACCGTGTTCGTTCTCTCCCCTCTCCTCCTCCCCTCACCATGTTCTCCAGCGCCCACCGTAACGAGTCTGGCAACCTTTCTGTCCCTCACATTCCCCCATACTGCAGCGCCCACCGCAGGGAATCCGTGCCCCCCCCCTTCACCCTCTCTCCCCACCATTCACCTCACTCCCCCTCCCCAATCCTCACCGTGCTCTCCAGCTCCACGCCATACTGCAATGCCCAGCACAGGGAGTCTAGCACCCTTCCCTTGCCGCACTTCACTTCCCTCCCACCCATAACCATTACAGCCAGTGCAACGCACCCTTCTCTCTCCCCCCTGCCTCACCCTCCCCACGCTCTTCAGTACCGTGTTTTCAAGCTCCACGCCGTGTTGCAGCGCCCAGCGCAGCGAGTCCGAAGCCTTCCCTTCCCTCCCTTCCCTCACACCCCTGGCTGTCCCCCAATCCCCACCCTTCCCCCCCCCTCTCACCGTGTTCTCGAGCTCCACGCCGTATTGCAGCGCCCACCGCAGGGAGTCCGGCAGCTGCAGCAGATAAGACAAAGCCAGCGCGGCCATGGCGGGCGGCAGCGAGTGGCGTAGGGCGACGGCGGCGAGGGCGGCGGAGAGCAAGGCGGCGGCAACGAGGAGGTCCAATCGGAAGCCCAACCACTCCCACGTGGCAATCCAGAATAGGTGCGGGCTGGCGTTGGTGGTGACGTGGCGCAGGAAGAGGCGATGGAAGCGGCGCTGCTGGGAGAAGGCCCGGATGGTTGGGAGGCCCTGGTGTGGGGGGAGGTGGAAGGGGAAAGGGAGTAGAGACTTGAGAGGTGAGCTTGGGAAGTGCATGCAACAATGAATGCGTGGGCCGGGGTCTGTCTCCCTGTGTGTGTGTGCGTGCGCGCGCGTGTGTGCGTGCGTGCATTTATGCGGGATGAAGGGAGCAACAACTTGTCCTTCTCACCTCCATGGTTGCGAGGAAGCGAGCGAGCAGCACGGAGCGAGTGGTGCACTCCATACGTCGGACCTCCATTGCCGTGCACACGTACAGATGCCGCAGGTGCAGCAGCAGCAGCAGCAGCGGCAGCATGGGGATGAGTGTCCACGGCACAGCTATGCACGCTGATACCACCGCAGCAACGCACAGGCCGAAGGGCTGTAGGTAAGTGGAGGACGGGAAGGATAGTACGGGTTTAGCGGGAGTGGGATGATGGAGAATGGAGATGGGAGAGTGGGTGACTGGGAGTATGGTGGGAGTAACTTTGTGTATTCACATGGTATCTAGCTGACATGAAACCCCTAACTCGTTTTGAACCCTCCTCAATCTTCCCTCCCTCCATCACGCTCCCCCACCCCTCTGTCGACCCTTCAACTCACATTGAGGAAGTCCAGCAGCAGCTGCGGAAGCGCATTGTCAGTCACCCCGAGGTCCTCACTGAAGCGGTTCAGCACGCGGCCCGTGGGGTTGGGTTGCAGTGAAATAACGCGAGTGGGGTGACTACTGAGTCTCAACTCACATTCAAAAAATCCAGCAGCAGCTGGGGCAGCACATCATCGGTAATCCCGAGGTCCTCACTGAACCGGTTCAGCACGCGCCCCGTGGGGTTGCGGTGGAAGAAGGCGAGCGGCGAGGCGAGCACCGATGAAAGCATGAGTGAGTGCATACAGGAGGAGGCGCGCAGTGCGGCGAAGTGGAGGAGGAGAGAGGCAAGGAGGGAGAGGGCCACGCAGGACAGGGCGATGGCTGCCAGCGTGACCAGTGGGTGCGGTGTGGTGTTGGGCTCCTCCGTCCACAGGCCCAGGAACCTTGGATTGGGGGAGGAGAAGAAGAGGCGAGAAATTAGAGGAGGGAGTGGGCCACGCAGGACAGGGCGATGGCCGTGAGGATGGCAAGCGGTGCGGTGTGGTCTCAGGCCCCTCCGTCCACAGGCCCAGGAACCTTGAGGAGAGGGGAGGGGTGGGTGGGGAGGGGAGGGGAGGGGAGGGGAGGGGAGGGGAGGGGAGGGGAGGGGAGGGGAGGGGAGGGGAGGGGAGGGGAGGGGTGGGTGGGGAGGGGAGTGGAGGGGAGGGGAGGGGAGGGGAGGGGAGGGGAGGGGAGGGGAGGGGAGGGGAGGGGAGGGGAGGGGAGGGGAGGGGTGGGTGGGGAGGGGAGTGGAGGGGAGGGGAGGGGAGGGGAGGGGAGGGGAGGGGAGGGGAGGGGAGGGGAGGGGTGGGTGGGGAGGGGAGGGGAGGGGAGGGGAGGGGAGGGGAGGGGAGGGGAGGGGAGGGGTGGGGAGGGGTGGGTGGGGAGGGGAGGGGAGGGGAGGGGAGGGGAGGGGAGGGAGGGGAGGGGAGGGGAGGGGAGGGGAGGGGTGGGTGGGGAGGGGAGTGGAGGGGAGGGGAGGGGAGGGGAGGGGAGGGGAGGGGAGGGGAGGGGAGGGGAGGGGAGGAGGGGCAAGAGTCATCAAGCATGGAGCAGGAGGGATGGGCAGATGTCCGATGGAAGTGGCGTGCAGCGCGGCACACAGGAGGCGTGGATGAGCAGTGAGACGAGAAGGCGAGAGGGCCATACAGGAGGGGGCGATGGCCGTGAGGGCGAGAAGAGGGGGAGGGGATGGCGAGAGGAGGTTTTTGGGGGGGCGTGCGTGAGAGAGAAAGGGAGCGTGAGGGAGGACTTCCTCACCAGCTGACGAGGGCGTTGGAGACGTGTGCGGTGAGGAAGAGGGCGGCAAAGAGCAGCAGAGGCAGCACTCGAATCTTTCTGGCGTAGCCCCAAAACACCGACAGGGGGATGGCGCCCCGCTGCCACCCTTCCACGTCCAGCAGGCCTGCAGGCACACACAGAGCGGTTTGGGGGTAGCGCGAAAGGGGATAGCGTGAAAGGGGGTAGCGTGAAATGGGATAGGGGGACGCACACCCAGTGATTGAAGCACACACACAGACAGGTTGATGGCGCCCTGCTGCCACCCTTCCACGTCCAGCAGGCCTGCAGGCACGCAGAGCGACGTGGGGGATACTGTGGGATGAGACAGCGGCGGGAAACACAGCCGCTTCCAAGGGATGGAAGCACACGCACAGACAGCGCGATGGCGCCCCGCTGCCATCCTTCCACGTCCAGCAGGCCTGCAGGCACACACAGGGGGGTGCACGTGCAGGCACGCACAGCGATTAGGGGATAGTGTGGGATGATACAGCGTGAAACACAGCCGCTTCCAAGGGATTGAAGCACACGCACAGACAACGGGATGGCGCCCCGCTGCCACCCGTCCAGCAGGGTTTAGGGTTTAGAAGCACACAGAGTTGGATGCAAGCACACACAGCCGTTTGGGGATAGCCTGGGATGGGATAGGTTAACGCACAGCCAGGGATGGGAGCACACGCACAGAGAGCGGGGGGGGGATGGCACCCCGCTGCCATCAGGTACACGCCCTGGGTTTGGGGTGGGATAGACAGCGGGCGGGAGCACACCCAGGGATGGGAGCAGACACGATTGCGTGGGACGGGCAGTTGGAGGGATTGGGATAAATGAAGCCATTTTTGCCTGCCTACCTTGCTCGTCACCTTCTGTGGAGCCACTCGCATCCTCCGCCTCCTCCTCCTCCTCCTCCTCCTCCTCCTCCTCCTCCTCCTCCTCCTCCTCCTCCTCCTCCTCCTCCTCCTCCTCCTCCTCCTCCTCCTCCTCCTCCTCCTCCTCCTCCTCCTCCTCCTCCTCCTCCTCCTCCTCCTCCTCCTGCACTCCCTTCCTCCTCCGGAAGAGGGAGTAACTCCTCATGTGGGACACGCTCCTCCTCCTCTTGTGCAACGAGCCCTTGGCATTCTGGCCCCCATGTGGGTCACTCTCCTCCTCCCTGCATGCATCTTCCAACCCCTTGACCTCCTCTGCTGTCTCCCGTTCTCTGCTGTCTCCGCCACTTGCTCTCAACAACGATTCTCTTTGAATCAACTCAGGAGTCTCCCCATGTGAGGCACTCTCCCCTTCCCTCCATGCATCTTCCACCCCCTTCACCCCCGCTGCTGTCTCCCCTTCTCTGCTGTCTCCGCAGTTTTCTCTCAACGACAACGTTCTTTGAATGCCCTCCGTCGCCCCATCTGCTGTCTCCGCCACATCCTCGCTTCCTCTCAACAACGATTCCCTTTGAATCGACTCAGAAGTGGCCCCATGTGGGACACACTCCCCTTCCCTGCATGCATCTACCAGCCCCTTCGCCCGCTCTGCTGCCACCCCCTCTGCTCTCTTCCCTTCTCTGCTGTCTCTGCCACCTCCTCTCAACGGCAATTCTCTTTGAATGCCCTCCTTTGCCGCATCTGACCTGTCCGCCTCAGCGTCTGTCTCTATGACGGGGCATTCGTCTTTGCTTCCTCTCAACGGCGAGTCCCTGTGAGTGCACTCCTCCTCGCATTCCCTCGTGCATTCTGCTGGTGCATCTGTGTTGTTGCTCTCACTACTCAAGTCGCAATCCACAGCGCTGCCACTGCCGCTGCCTCTGCAGCTGTGTGAGTGAGCAACAGAGTGAGCAGCTCTGTGCGTCAACTCTGGAAGCGGCACTGCAGCATCCGTGTTCGTGCTGCTGCTGCTGGTGCCGGTGCCAGGGACAGTGGCAGTGGCAGTGGCAGTGGCAGTGGCAGCGGTACAGGCGGCACTGTCAGTGTCAGTGGCAGAAGCGTGAGAAGCATCAGAGCCGTCTCGCCCCAGAGGGGGATTGTCGCAGTGTTGCTGTGCAGAGGGCAGGGCGCAGATGTCACTCCAGGCGCCACACGCCGCTGCTCTGCCACCGTCCAGCACCAACACTCTGTCGCAGCTGGGGATGGGGGGGGTGGGAACAGAACAAAAACATAGAAAGAGAGTCGCGATTGCGAGATGGGGGATAGGGAGCAAGAACAAAGACGTAGGGAGGACGCGGGAGGTTGAGGTTGAGTGAGAGGGATTTAATGGGACAGAGGGTGAGTTCAAATGGGATAAGAGAGGGGTTCAAAGGGATAGAGAGCGTTTCAATGGAGCAGAGAGGGGTTCACTGGGGTTGCAAAAGGAAAGACGGTACATCTGTACTGTGTGTGTGCATGGAAGGCTTTGAGCTTGCACACTTGTCTGGGATGCAACAGAAATGCATGGACGCATGAGCAGACACATACATCCAAAGGGAAGGGCTAAGAACGTGCGCGCAAGAGTGTAAGAAAATGGGATGGGGGATCAATGCATTAAAAACACCGCCTCCCTCCCTCATCAATTCTCTGCTACCTCTCCACCCCTTCCCCATCCCCTTTTCCCACACACACCCATTACCATACCTCCCCGCTCCTTCCCCATCCCGTTCCCCCACACCGAGTACCGTACCTCCCAAGGTACTGCACGTGGTGAGTCACTGTGTGACAGAGGCCCCCACCCCCCACCCATGACCATACCTGCCAAGGTACTGCACGTGGTGAGTGACGACAATCCGGGGCAGCCCTGCCAGCAGCCCACACACGCACTGCTGAAACACGTGGCAGGCAACGGCTGGATCCAACGCGGCTAGCGGGTCGTCCAGGAGGACCAGCACGGGTGGGGGCGCACTCCTGCTGCTGCTGGTGGCGTTGGTTCTATTGCCGCTGCTATTGTTACCGCCATTGTTTCTACTGCTGCTATTGCTATCGCCGCTGCAATAGCCATCAGCATGCGACTGTGGGGTGCCAGCGCAGCAGTGCAGGGCGGCATACGCCGCCCGGGCGAGCGACACGCGCGCCCTCTGCCCGCCACTGAGGTTGCCGCCGCCCTCCTCCACCAATGACTCGTCGCCACGTGGCCACAGGGCCAGGTCCGAGCGCAGGGCGCAGGCATCCAGCACCTTGAGTAAGGGGCCACGGGGGATGCCTCCAAGGGGCAATGGAGATTCAGAGAGAACGGGGAAGGAGATGGCCACGGGGGAGGAAGAGGCAAGAGGCAAAGTCGAGGAATGGCAGAAGGGGGCATTGGGAGACGTTGAGAGGGATTCAGGGCGGATCCAAAACGAAGGCAGTGACGGAGTAAGAGAGAGCAGAGAGGAGAAGGCGACGGGGGGGGAGGAGAGAAGAGGGGAGCTTTGGGAGGCGTTTGAAGGAGAGACAGGATCAGGGCGGAGAGACAGGATCACGGCGGAGAGACAGGATCACGGCGGAGAGACAGGATCAGGGTGGAGAGACAGGAGCAGGGCGATCTTCCTATGCACAAAGCGCACCTTGGCATACAGTGTCTCGTCTAGCGGTGTGCCGAATAGGATATTGTCTCGCACCGTGCCCTCGATGAGGAATGGCTGGTGGCATGGGCGGGCGGAAGGAAGGGGGCGGGCGGGGGAGGGGAGGAAGGACTTTTGAGAGTGATGTTTGAGTCGACTCAAGAGGATGCTGTCTCGCACCATGCCCTGGATGAGGAACGGCTGGTGGCATGGACGGATGGAAGAAGGTGTGGAAGGATGGGGGGGGAAGGGACTTTTGAGTCGACTGAAAAAGCTGGTGGAGTGGGATGCACCGTGCCCTCGATCAGGAACGGCTGGTGGCATGGACAGGCGGGAGCAAGTGGGGGAGAGGGGGGGTGGCGGGAGGAGGGAAGTGGGTGCTCGGACGTAGCATGTTGGAAAGGGTGAGAGAGAGAGACGCGTGGGAAAAGGCCAGAAGGAGACGCGTGGGAAGGGCCGAGAGAGGGAGACGCGTGGGAAACGGCGAGAGAAAGACGAGTGGCATCGGGTGAGAGAGAGACGAGTAGCAAAGGGTGAGAGAGAGACGAGTAGCAGAGTGTGCGAGAGAGATGAGTAGCAAAGGGTGAGTGGCGAGTGGGTGGGCGACCTGCTGCGATGCATAGGCGAGGGAGGGCACGGAGCGGTGCATGGCGCCGGATGAGAGAGGCACTTCCCCGAGAATACCCAGCAGCAGCAACGACTTGCCACTGCCCGTCTGCCAGGTGGCAAGGGAGGGCGGGAGGCAGGGTAAATGGCATACAGTCAAAGGGCGCCACTCAGCAGGCTGCAGGCAGCACAGCAGGCAGTAGAACAGTCTGTGACAGCCAGAGGCACACAACACGCACAAGGCACAGGCATGCGGCAGGCAAGAGCATTCCTTACCATTACATAGCATTCCATGGCATTCCATCGCAGGCAATAGCAGGCAATAGCAGGCAGCAAGCAGCGGGCTCACCTTGCCAGTGACTCCCAGCAGCTCCGCCTCTCCCAGCCTCACGCTCACTCCCTCCACCCGCCCGCTCGGTGCACCGTCTATCTCCACCTGCCCCTCTTGCTCCGCCCATGCGGTCACACACGTGCCCTCCAAGGCAGCAGCACCAGCAGCATCGGCAGAAGCAGCAGCAGCAGAAGGGCCAACAGCAGGGGAAGGGCCAGCAGCACGAAAGCTCATGATCCGCTGGAGGGAACGCACGCGGAAAGCTTTGGGGACGCGGCGGAAACTCCTGACTCTGCTCATGTAGGCCTTGCCATAAGGCGTGCCATCATCGCCCATGCAAGGCTCAGTCATATCCAGTACATGTCCTGCCGATGATTGAGTCGACTCAAAAATCGCCTCAAGCGCTTGCTTTTTCCATCTCCTTCCTCTAAATCCCTTTCCTCCTCCCTCTTTGTTCTCCATCTTACCCTCGACCTTAACCTCCCCGGCTGCTTCTCCCCAAGCAAACGAAGCCCCTTCAAGCACCAGGGTGGCACGCGGGGGGGAGGGAAGGCGTGTGGGAGCAGAGGAGGAGGAGAGGCTGTGTCTGGACAGGGAGGCGAGCTCTGAGGGTGGTGGGAACTGGTGTATCGGTGCTGGGGACTGGAGACTTGGTGCTGTGAGAGCAGCACTTGTCGATTCAGGTGACTTGGTGGTGGTTGGGGTGTCAAGGCCGTGGTGGTGTGCTCCTGGGAGCAGAGCAGAGCCATTCTGAGATGGCGCTCCTTGCTGCCTGGCTCTGTGGGGGGTGGTCTGTTGGAGTGCAGGTAGCACGCACAGGGAGGTGTAGGCACAGGGAGGGAGGCACAAGAAGAATTGCTGCAAACATATTGGTTGGTAACGATAGGCGGTGAAAACCCGAGAAAAGTGGTGGGTGGGTGGGTGGGTGGGTGGTTGGGTAGGTTGGGTAGGTTGGGTAGGGTGGGTAGGTTGCCAGCAGCAAAGAGCATGGTGCTGCTTCCTGCATACCAACGTGCAGGGAGTGCGAGAGTCGCTTGAAGCTGAAAGATGCCTATTTTGAGGTGCCTTGAACATTGCGGGTAGAAAGACGAAACCTCAAAAGGCAATGCTGACCTGCAGGAAGTGTGAGAGTCGCTTGAAGCTGACAAACGCCTCTGCTATTTGGTGTATGCCATAGGCCACCTTCCACCCCATGGTGTAGTGCGGGATCTGTGCGGATATGGTATGGCGTGGCGGAGGGCACGGAGGGAGGAGCGGAGGGAACGGAGGGAGGGGAGGAAGGGAAGTGTGGGGCATGTTAGTGGACTGCTTAGAGAGAAGCAACAGAGCACGATGACCAACCCACTCGACCCAGTCCCTCACAATTGTTGAGGCGCCACAACAATTGCAACGCAACTGATTCGAAAGAAGCAACGGTGCACGATGACCAGCAGCCCATGCGCCGTTGAGCAACGCATTTAATCCAATCCACTCCCCCACGCGCATTGATGAGTGGCCCGTGCTGATGTGAGAGCGCGTGCACGTGTATGTATCCCGCCAACTCTGCTCAACTAAGGGCACAGGAAAGACGCATCTTGAAGAGCGTGAGCGAGCACGTATGCTTTTGAATCGACTCAAAAGGAGCGTGAGCAAGCACGTATGCTTTTGAATCGACTCAAAAGGAGCGTGAGCGAGCATGTAGAACACAGCAGCAGCCGCCGTGAGTTGGCCTTAAGAGTCGACTCAAAAGTCTCCTCTGGGACATGCTGTGAGAGATGCAGCTGTCCTTTCGTATGGTTCTATTGAGGTGCATGGAAGCAAGGAGAGGTGCAGCGCACCTCGAGGAGAGTAAGCACGTAGAACACAGAGGTTGCGGTGAGTTGGACTCCGAGGCACGTGAAGGTGGCCAAGGTGACGAGGGCGACCACGTTTTGAGACGTCTCAGAACTTACCTCCAAGAGCGTAAGCACGTAGAACACAGAGGCGGCGGTGAGTTGCCCTCCGAGGCACGTGAAGGTGGCGAAGGTGACGAGGGCGACCACGGAGGTGAAGGAGAAGTAGAGCGCAGCAGTCACGGCGTTGATGGCAGCTGTCCACTGCAGGCTGGCAGAATGAAAGGTGAGAATGGAGAGGATTTTTTAGGCGCTTCTAAAGCATCCAGCGAGGTGATTGAGAAGCAGAGAGAGTAGCCGTCACAGCATTGATGGCAGACGTTCACTGCTGCAGGCTGGATGGAGGACGGGGAGGATGGAGGAGGGTGGAGGGTGGAGGGTGGAGGGTGGAGGGTGGAGGGGAACTTTGAGGCGCTTCAAAAGCAATCAGCGAGGTGAATGGGAAGCAGAGAGTGTCGTCATGGCGTTGATGGTGGGGCTGTGCTGTGCAGGCTGGAGAGGACGGCCCGAATGGATGGTGCAGGGCGCCGGGTGCAGGGTGCAGGGTGCAGGGCGCAGGGTGCAGGGCGCCGGGTGCAGGGTGCTGGACAGAGGGAGCAAATGCTGATTCTGATTAGGAGCGGATTCAATGACAAGAACAGTTCGAGAGAGAGGGGGGACGGAGGGGTGGGCGAGGCTGAGAGGGAAGAAGAGGGAGCGGAGAAAGCTTGGAACAAATGAGGGAGGGGTGGGAAGGGGAGGCGGACGGCAAAAGTGGTGGGAGTTGGAGGGATGGACTAACAAGGACACTTCTGTGCGTCTGATTCGTTGGATGAATTCTGTGAGCCGCCCCTCCAGAGCCAGTGTCTTCACTGTCAGGATGCCGCCCAGAGCCTGTTGTGGTGCCAGGGGGTGGGTGGGAGGGTAGGATGAGTGGGTGGGTGGGTGGCTGGGTGAGTGGGAGGGGATGGGAGTTGAAGGATGTTAGGAATCGAAGGCATGGTAGGAGACTTCTGAGACGACGCCGAAGTTGCACGTGAGAGGACAAGGATAGGCCAGGCATCAGTGGAATTCCATTGACAGGTGGGGACCATGTCCCACGACACAGCACACCTGAGGCGTCGTTTTTGAGGCGCCTTAAAAATCAACTCAATGCATCAGTGCAATTCCCATTGACAGGTAGGGACCATGTCCCACGATACGGCACGTCTGAGGCGTCTCAAAAGTCCTCTCAGTTGAGGCGTCTCAGAAGCCCTCTCAGCACGCTGTGTTTTGCCACACCATGTGCAAGGGCACGACACGTGTCTCCTCTCACTCACCGCGTGCGTTTTACCTTCTTCTCCTGCTCCCTTCTCGCTTTTCTCCCTCCCACATTCCACCCTTCTTCTTACTTCTGCCTACCTTCCCCTTCACATCATGACCCTAACACCGCAACCGCCCACCTATCTCTCCCCAACCGCCCACCTCTCCCTCCTGAACCGCCCACCTCTCTCCCCAAATGCCTACCTCCTCTGTGTGCTTGACGCGTGCATCTGTGGCCTCCGCCGTTTTCGCCCGCAGCCGCACCCTCCACTTCCCACAGGCCAGCTGGTGTGGTTTGGTTGTTTGTGGGTGGGAGGAGGGTGGGGCGAGAGTAAAGCGCATAAGGGGAGGGGAATGGAGGGAGCGGCGCATGGAAGGCAGATGGGGGAGAGAGGGTGAGTCTTCCAGCCGCACCCTCCACTTCCCACACGTCAGCTGGTGTCGTTTGGTTATTCGGGGGGAGAGAGTGAAGTGCGTAAGTCGAATGGAAGGAGTGACGCATGGAGGGCGGACGACGGGGGAGAGAGGGTGAGATTGACGAGATGTGAGGGAGCAGGGAAGCCAGGCTTGTCACCGACATTCTTAGACTTGTGCCCAGCTTCTATTATAGCCTGATGACAAAGCGTGAGTGCACCTGTAGTGGAAGCAGCAGCAGTTGCATGCCAATGCCAGCAATGGTGGGCACCCATCCGATCTCCCTCGCTATCAGCCACGTGACCAACACTAGCTCGATAGGAGCCTTCATGAAGGAGGCAGGGAAGAAGAAAGCACGTATGGAGCGGAGAATGCGTGAAGCGGAGGAAGGCAGTGATTCACAAGAAAGGTAGGTAGCCTTGTGCAGGTGGGTAGGATAGGACCATCGCTCTTGGCCTTCATCCACTGCCTCTTCTCTTTCCCCCCACCACTAGAGTCCCCACGCCACGCCACTCCACTCCAAAGCCCTTCCCCTGACAACCCCCCACCCCCCATCCATCATCCCTGGCCCCCCATCCCAAAGTACTCTTCGCCTCACCACCCAGAGCGCCTGGCTGCAGAACACAAGGTCGTCCAATCGGCGCACGTCATTGGACAGCAGGTTGATGCAGTGCCCGCTGCTGACGTGGCTCAGCGCGCTGGCGGTGAGTGTGAGGAGGTGACGATGCACTGCAGGGGAAGAGAAGGAGATGGAACTTGTGGGAGGGAAGGCCGAATTATATTAGAATTCGAATCAGAATTCAACGCAGAGGAGGTGGGAGGGTGGAGTAAGGGAGGATGTGTGAGGAGGTGGCGGTGCACTGCAGGGGAAGAGACGGAGATGGAGCGTGTGGGAGGGAAGGGGAGGAAGACCGGTGTGGGGAGGACAGTTGGGGGAAGGGCGGGGGGATGGGCAAAAAGAAGCAGAAGCAGTTTGGCGGATTTTGGGTGGCAGAGGCTTGGAGCTTGGGCTGCGAGCGGAAAGGTATAGGAGTAGAGACAACAACACGGGGAGTGGGAGAGGAGGAAGCGGATGGGGGCAAGGGAGGACAGTTGGGGGAAGGAGGTGAGGGGATGGGCGAAAAGCACCAGAGAGACTCTGACCAATGTGGATGGCAACCTCACCTGCGCTGATGGCGGCGGTGCGAGTGTTGGTGGAGACAACATATGCGCGGTAGCACAACTGCTGGGTCACCATGGCCAGAGCCACTGCCACTGCGCCCATCCCCGCTGCCGTGAGGTAGCCCTCGGTGGGGCCGCACTGCCCTGCCCCGCTGCCGTCACTGCTGCTGCCGCTGTCACTGCTGCTGCCGCTGTCACTGCTGCTGCTGCTGTCACACCCTTCCAGGTAGGCGACCTGGTGCGGGGAAGGAGGGGGGAGGGGAGACGTATGCACGGTAGCAAAACTGCTGGGTCACCACGGCCAGCGCCACACCACCAGTGCGCTCATCCCCCCTGCCGTGCCGTGCCACTGCCACTGCGCCCATCCCAGGTAATCCTCCGTGGGCCCGCCGCTGCTGCTGCCGCTGTCACTGCTGCTGCTGCTGCTGCTGCTGCTGCTGCTGCTGCTGCTGCTGCTGCTGCTGCTGCTGCTGCTGCTGCTGCTGCTGCTGCTGCTGCTGCTGCTGCTGCTGCTGCTGCTGCTGCTGCTGCTGCTGCTGCTGCTGCTGCTGCTGCTGCTGCTGCTGCTGCTGCTGCTGCTGCTGCTGCTGCTGCTGCTGCTGCTGCTGCTGCTGCTGCTGCTGCTGCTGCTGCTGCTGCTGCTGCTGCTGCTGCTGCTGCTGCTGCTGCTGCTGCTGCTGCTGCTGCTGCTGCTGCTGCTGCTGCTGCTGCTGCTGCTGCTGCTGCTGCTGCTGCTGCTGCTGCTGCTGCTGCTGCTGCTGCTGTCACACCCTTCCAGGTAGGCGACTTGGTGGGGGGATGGAGGAGAAGAACGAGGGGGAAATGTTGGAGAGTGAGGGGGAGTGGGGGAGAGGGTAGGCGGGAATGGCTCCTGAACTGATGAATCTTATTAGACTCGGCGTTCACGTATGCGTGCACGCACGCACAGACATTTCACTCACTGGTAGGGTTGTCACAAGCACGCACTGGCAAGCATAATCTCACCATGCAATAGCAGCACTCACAATGCGATACAGCAGCACGGCTTTGACCACATGCAGCATCGACTCCCCGAGAAACATCACTGCAAGCAGCAGCAGCGCCCACCGGTGCGGCCAATACAGAGCCGCCCAAAACGGCCACTTCCCTCTGCCCCCTGCTTTCCATCCGTCCCACAACACCAACTGACCGCTTCCCATCCGCCTTTCCCCCTGCTCCCCTTCACACTGCTCCTCCTCCTTCCGCCCCCTTTCCCCATGCTCCTCCCCCTTCTGCCCCCTCTCCCCCTGATCCCCTTCCATGATGCGCGCCGTTTGCGCGTCCAGCCAATCCGCGCGCCAGGTGCGCGGGGGCGGGGGGAGGTCCGCCAGCTGCAGCATTGTGCGCGCGCCCAGGCGCATTGTGGGGGTCACCTGCGCGCATTAAGGGAGGGGAATTGCAAGGGAAGTGAGTCACTTGCACGCGTTGGGCGGGGGGAGATCCGCCAGCTGCAGTGTTGTGCGCGCGCCCAGGCGCATTGTAGGGTTCACCTGCGCGCGCGCGGCATTGGTTGGTTGGTTTCATTGTGCACGGGGAAGGGAGGGGGAAGGGAGTGTTAGCATGGTTGCCGACCTAGAGGGAAGGGGACTGCCATGGAGCTCCCTTAGCGGCTGGTGGGCACTTCCTGTTTAGTTTTTTATTGTGTGATTGTTTGGTCTTGTCTAGTGTTAGTAGGTTTGGTTAGCTCTCCTGTGCGCTTATTGAGTTTTGCTATGTGATGATGTGATCACGATGCATGTCTGTCTCTTCCCGTCTTGATCAATGCAAGGGCCGTTTGAGGGAAGGGGGCGGCGGAATTGGAGATGAGAGAGGCACACGGAAGCTAGTAAGCTGCCTACGCTACGCCGAAGGAAGCAAGGAAGAAAGCAAGTGACTTGGATGGAACCGGGCCACAGGCAGCCAGCCGAGCAGGCAGCGCCGCGTGACCCACCCATGCGAATGTCAATGCTGACCACAGGCTCGGCTCTCCGTCGTCTCCCTCGCCTTCCTCCGCCTCCTCCTCCCGCTGGATATTATCATCATCAGCAACAGCAGCACCGGCAGGAGCAGCATTGGAGCCGTGGCCATCACCCACGGCTGTCGCTTCTGCCACCGATGCGCCGCCATTTTCGCAATTGTCGCATGCCCCTGCGAGCAGCAAGCGTCCTTCCTCCTTGTCGCAAATGTCGCCGGTAGTGGTTGTCACATCGTCGGAGTAACGCGCCTCGCTGACGCTCCGATCAGCGGCCGCAGCATTGCTGGTTCGCTGCAGCTGCATCTGCGATTGCTGGTCCAAGCCTAGCGATATTGTCATCTCGCCTCCGTCCGTTGAATCGCAATTTGGGGGACACGGGGTGCGAGTGCTGACGACTGGGGTGGGGTGCTGCTGAGGCGAATCGCCTCGACTGTCGATGTCGACAGACAGGTTGCTTTCGTGTCCCTACATCATCAGACTGCTACTCGAAATTCACCTGTCAGTCTATCTGTGTCACTTATTCCGTCAGTCTGTTTCTCCGTTCCGTCTGATATGAAAGGTCTCCCGGGCTGTGCATGGAAATGCTTCAATCGCAGCTGGTCGTTCAAGAAAGTGAGCAACGAGCTGTCCAGTTACTCGTTTCAACGTACGGTATCGTCGTCTATCTCAATGTATAAAGTTGGTTTTAACGCCGCGAGACTCTGTCTTGTGGACGACCCAAAATAGGATATCTATAAATAATAATAATGCTGCATGAATTGCCGGGCATCAGTCCCGCTATGCACCTCTGGTGGACATAGGAAAGGGTTTACCATGATGCATTGCTGAACGGGGGATACTTGAGCAAACATGTGTTCGCGCCGCGCGAACATTTTGGGCCAAGTTCATGCGCTTTTTGCCTCGGTGAAGGACCAAAGCAGAGGCAATTACCCAGAGAGGTGATGATTGCTGGTAGTAAAGTCCCCTCCCCACTCACAGATGGTTGTGGTGTGAGACGGCAACGATGGCATACGCCTCTAGCAGGGAAAGCAGAGACATTGTTGTTGCTCTAAATGAGTTACTGAAAAGAGAAGGATGAAAGCTTATTGAATATTGTTACATTCATAAGATACAGTAGTACATGCAGTTGAGAAGCTGTGCTCACTATTCAGCGAATCCCACAATAGTGACACATCGAAACGAGAATGACTTCTGTCAGAATAGACAGCAGCCCTCGAATCCGAAATCCTCGCTCTGAATTTCATCCAGCATCCCATCCCACCCTCCTCCCCTGAATTACTGACAAAAAGCCGCGTCGGGTAGATTGTGTTGCTTCTTACGCCCAAGCGCCTGAAACTGGAACCAGGATTTTTGTTGTGAAGGCCACTTCATCGCCTTCCATCGACTCGCACGATTCACCACTCTCAGACTGCGGCTTCGAGTCAGACTGCTCCGACTCCCTCACGATCAGTCGCTTGATGAACTGCGGGAAGAACGGCCACAGTCGCTGCTGCAGCTCAAGCAGCTGCCAGTCGTCACATGTGACCACCCCACGGCAGATCGACGCGCCGCAGTGGCAACTGAAGTTGTCACTGCTGGTGCGGACGACGCCTGCGTTGGTGCTCCCGTAGTCGATGCTCAACTCTTCGCCTTGCACGATGTCCCGCAAGGCCACCACCGTCACCGAGTCTTCCAATCCGCAGTTTGGGTCGCATGAGTGGTTGATAAAGTCGGGCGTCTCGGGCCCACGCGTCGGATGCGGCACCTGCCAGAGGTGATCGTTGACTCGCAGCGAGAGCTCTCGCGTGCGCTCGTCGCTTCCCAGCAGGTAGTCGAGACCGACAAGCTTGCCGGCGAAGACGAGAAGCGGTTCGCCACGTCGGACGCTCGCCAATGCGAACATCCCCTTGAAGCCGTCCGCGCCGCCTTTGTAGCGAGGAACCACGCGCGGGTCGTACCACCCCGACTCGGCCATCTTCCGCTCAATATAAGCCGAGCAGTGGCCGGCGAACCGCCGCTGCCAGTCGTGCGAGCGCCACTCGGTGAATGTGAGCGTGCCACGGCAGCACGCGGCGCCGCAGCGGCAGTGCAGGCCGGCATGCATGCTACCCTCCGTCTCCGTGCAGGCGTAGTCGTACGTGACGTGCTCACCCGAGCGAATGTCGCGCAGAGCGACCATGCAAGTGGCGGTAGCGTACCACGTGTTGGGGTCGCACGAGTGGTTGTAATAAAAGCTCGGATCTTCGTCGGGGTCAGTTATCGTGTCGTACATGTCGTCACCGACCATGTACGAAAAGTGAATCATCATTTCGCGCTTCTTTTGATCGGGTTCCGCTGATAAGTCACGAGCGTGGTACACTCGCCGCGCAGCGGCCTCTTCTTCGTCCCAATCGCAAACGACCTCGCCTTGTGCGATAAAGCTGCGCGCGAACAGCCCGCAGCATCGGAAACCGTAGAGCTGGTGCTCCTTCACGACGATGTGCGGGTGGAGACCCATGATGGAGGAGCGAGAACGGTTGGAGGATGAGTGTGTGTGAAGCGTGCAGTCTGATGACGGGAGGAAATGGTGCGCTGAATTAGTACTATCGTTGCTTGAAAGTTGATACTGATCCAAAACGCCGTGAGATGCTGTCTTTATGGATTCTAGGAGAATTGGTGTGGAGGCGCGATACACTGAACGAAGGCAGAGGCCCTCAAGGTGAGGTTAAGGAACTGGAAGTCAATCACCCACCAAAAATCGTTCGCGTTCCACACAAAAGTCGGCCCCATTCGCCCAACGAAATGCTGAGGCCCTCGAGGTGAGGTGATGGAATCGGAAGCCAATCACCCACCTAGTATGATCGCATTCCAGACGAAGATCGCTTCCATCCGCCCAGAACGAAGGCAGAGGCTCGTCGATGTGAGGTGATGGAATTGGAAGCACCACCCCACCTAAGTATGATCGCGTTCCAGACGATGATCGCCCCCCAATTACCGAAGTGATTGACTTCCGATTTCCATCTGGTACGTTTCTTGTACATTATTTGCGGTCTAATCTGTTTTGTCACGGTGCAAAACGGTGTAGGAAAAAACTGCTAAGCACCGTATCTAAGCGTTTTAAAAGCGGTTAGGGCGCGAGTGTTCTTGCCGAACCTGACAAAGTTCGAGCTCAAACCGTTTTGCACCGTGGCAAAAAGTTTTAAACTGTATTTTACCGTGACAAACCGTTTTAAAAGTTGGAACTTTCAGTCAGGTTCGGCAAGAACACACGCGCCAAACGAACTGTACGAGTTGCAATCCCCCTACCATTGCTACGCTCCAGTGATGATATGCATGCATGCTTGGCGGATGGTCAATTGTGTTGGGCGAAGAATGACGTTCGCAACAATCGTTAATTGTCGTGGGAGCTGATCGCACGGCTTGCAGCCTAGGCGTCCAACTCATCCATTCGTTGCCAGGCCAGACATTCGATAATACCCATCGCCTGGAACGCGATCATGTGTGTGGAAGAACCGTGGAACGGGAACACCGAATGAGTGATTGACGTGTGGCAACTTCCGCCAGGGCAGAGCATCGGCGGGAAGCCATTTATTTAGAATTCAACACGGAGCGTAGGATTTCTCGATCCGACGGTAAAGATGGAAATCGAAAATCGAGTGATCTCCGCAACTCACGCTATATGAGAGTGGAATCGCGTTGCGACCAATACCGTTCCACAGTGTACATTCCCCATGGGCAACGGATTTGAGTCTCTCACGGTCAGCCAGGGGGCTGAAACTTGAACCTGCGACTACCCTGGACACTCTAGCTGCTGCTGCTGCTGCCAGCCAGCTCATTTCCTCTCGTACAATTGAATCAACCAAACTCTCTTCGTCACGAAGTGCGTGACAAAAGAATCTCACGCATCAGCCCCTTTTCAACACGACGATCCGAGCAACACGACGATCCGAGCAATCCTGGCTATAATACACGGAGGAGCGAACCATAGCGTGAAAGATTGACTGAGAAAGACGATAGCCAGAAAGGAGTCTAACAGAACAGATACCGCTGCTCACCAACTATTGGACAACCAGACGCGTGCGAGTTATTTCTATCCAAAGCAGGGGGGGGAGACCCAGTTCAGTCGAACGGGCGAACAGACCGATGGAATAACAGACTGACAGTAAAAGCAAGCAGGAAATTCCGTCGTAGGCAGCCAAGCGACACGAACGCAACAGATTTTACCTGTCGACAGCGACAGTTGAGGCGGGTCGAGGTGCCAGCAGCAGCCCAGTCCGACCAGTATCTCCGAAGTTGCGATTCAATGGACGGAGGCGAGATGATGATATCCCTGGATCTGGAGCAGCCGCAGCAGAAGCAGCAGCGAGCCGGCAATACTGTGGCCGCTGATCGGAGTGTCAGCGAGACGCGTTACTACTCTGACGATGGGACAATTACCGGCGACATTTGCGACAAGGAGGAAGGGCGGTTGCTGCTCGCAGGGGCGTGCGACAGTCGCGAGGATGGCGGCGCATCGATGCGACGATCGGCGGCAGAAGCGACGGCCACGGGTGATGGCCACGGCACCAGCAGCGGTGCTGCTTCTGCTGCTGGTTGTGGTGCTGCTGATGATTTCGGGGAGGTGGAAGAAGGCGAGGGGGACGATGGAGAGCCGAGCCTATGGTCAGCATTGGCGTTTGCATGGGTGAGCGCGCTGCCTGCTTGGCTGGCTGGTTGTTTGGTTCCATCCAAGTAACTATCTCTCTTCCTTGCTTCCTTCGGCGTAGCGCGACTCAGGTTGCGCGACTCGTCCTAGGGAGCTTAGGTTGCCTGTGCGCGACTCACTTTTCTTGCCTCTCAACTCCATTCCCCCCCTTTCCCCCTAATCAATGCGGCGCGCAGGTGAGTCCGATAGTGCGCATGGGCGCGCGCAGAGCGCTGCAGCTGGCGGACCTACCCCCGCCCCCCCGCACCTGTCGCGCGGAATGGCTGGACGCGCAAACGGCGCGCTTGCAAGGGGAGGGGCGGAAGGAGGAGGAGCTTTGGGAAGGGGGGCAGGCGGAAAAGCGGGGGGAAAGGAGAAGCGGTCAGTGCGTGGTGTCGGGCGGATGGCGGGATGATTGCCCCGAGGGTGCGGTGGCCCGCGCTGGTGGGATGGATGGTGCGGTGAGGCATCTCAGAACTCGGGCGGATGGGGGGATGGTTGCCCCCAGGGGCCCGCGATGGTATCGTGGGGTGGGCCGCGTTGGTCGGCTGTGGGCGGGGGGCAGGCGGAAGTGGCCTTTTTGGGCGGCTCTGTATTGGCCGCACCGGTGGCAGCTGCTGCTGCTTGCAGTTCTGTTTCTCGGGGAGTCGATTATGCAAGTAATCAAAGCCGTGCTGCTGTATCAAATGGTGAGTGCTGCTGTACTGCATGGTGGGTCATAAGTTGGAAAATCGCGTTTTGCGTTTAGTATGCAAGCGTATATACGCCGAACGCTGGAAGGGGGTCTGGTACGCATAGAATGCGCAGCCCCGGGCAGGTAAAAAACTTTCGGGCAGGATGTTTGGGTTGGGACGTGCTAAGCTCCCGTCCCCTTTTTATCAACATCCTCAGCGGAACTGCCGCGCGCATCTGCAGCCGGGAGAGGGGAAGGTGTTTCTGCAGGAGTGAAGGACACGGTGGTGGTTGAGCTAGGAAGGGAAGAAAACGAGAGGATGATTATCGAATAAACAGAAGGCCCGTAATTATGGTTGGCTCGGATAGTAGAGTCTGGTTGAGGACTCGTGACTCGACAGCGGGAATTGGGAATGAATGGGGGGTGGAGAGCGTTGTCAAACGGTGGAGGGGAGGGGCATGGGGTTTGAAATTCAAAATTTGAGTTCGCCACGTCCCAGTCAGCCCGTGAGTATTTGGGCATATCTACACCAAAAACGTAATTTGTTCAGGCGTATAGACGCTATGCACATTTACATTGGAGTCTTATTTTCCTATTTATGTGAGTGCTGCTGTATCGCATGGTGAGATCACAATGCACCAGTGAGTGAAAAAGTTGGCGTGTGCGTGCATGCATGCGTGAGTGTGCGTACATGATCGCGTGAACAGAGATTCTCTTACACTTCATCATTCTCAGAACTATACCCCTCCTTAACTCTCCCACTCCCCCTCACTCTCCATCAATCCCCCCTGCCTCCTCCTTCCCCTCCATAGGTAGCCTACCTTGAAGCGTGTGGTGGCAGCAGCAGCAGCAGCAGCAGTGTGGCAGGGCAACCCGCACCCACAGAGGGTTACCTCACTGCAGCAGGGCTGGGCGCAGTGGCGGTGGTGATGGCCGTGGTGAGCCAGCAATTGAGCTACCGATCGTATGTTGTCTCCACCAACACACACACCGCTGCCATCAGTGCAGGTGAGTGAGAAGAGGGAGAGGTGCCTAAACCCTTGCGGCGCCTCAAAAGTCAGTGGCGGTGGTAATGGCCGTAGTGAGCCAGCAATTGAGCTACCGCTCTTATGCTGTCTCCACCAACACACACACCACCGCCATCAGCGCAGGTGAGGAGAGAGGGGGGCAGTGGGCAGGCAGGCCGTCAGCGTCAGCTTCAAAACTGCTTGTTGTCGTCTCGAGTCCTACAGCTCTCCGCTCGCAGCCCACGCTCCCAATCTCAGCCATCCAGTTCGGGAAGAATACCTCTGTTCCCCCAACTGTTCTCCCCGCCCACTTCCACTTCCTCCCCTCCCACACCCTCCCTCTCCCTTTCAGTGCATCGCCACATCCTCTCAGAAGAAAATGTGTGTGTCAGTAAACCAGCTGAGCTTTGATTCGTCTTGAAAATCAACTCGGTCTTCCTCCCTTCCCACACCCGTCCTCTCCCCGTCAGTGCACCGTCACCTCCTCTCCCTCACCGCCAGCGCGCTGAGCCACGTCAGCAGCGGGCACTGCATCAATCTGCTGTCCAATGATGTGCGCCGATTGGAAGACCTGGTGTTTTTTGGCAACGCGCTCTGGGTGGTGAGGCCAAGGGGACGGTGGGGTGGGGTGCCAGGTGGGGGATGGGAGGACGGAGATGACGGATGGGGGATGACGGATGGGGGATGACGGATGGGGGGACAGGGGATGACGCTTGGGGGGACAAGGGCAATAGAGGGAAGGGCTTGTGGAATGAAGAGATATGGAGTTGGGGACTGTGGTGGTGGGGGAGAAGAGGGAGTGGATGGGAAGAAGGCCAAGAGCAATTGTCCTACCCACCCGCATAAGGTTGCCAGCCTCTTTTTGTGATTGACTGCCTTCGTCCGCTTGATGCATTCCCCACGTTCCTGCGGGTGTTCTCCTGTGGCTGCTTCTCTTGCTACCCTGTTTCCGTTATGCAGGCCCCGATTGAGCTTGCGATGGTCACGTGGCTGATAGCGAGGGAGATCGGATGGGTGCCCACCATCGCTGGCATCGCCACGCAACTGCTGCTGCTTCCACTACAGGTGCGTGGTTTGACACTCGGCTATGATTGACCTTGTGGTTGTCACGTGGCTGATATTGAGGGAGATCGATCGGACAGGTGCCCACCATTGCTAGCATCGCCACGCAACTGCTGCATGCCTCGTCACTTCGTTTTCGGCGGAGAGACTGAGAGAGAGATAGCTTAACTTAGAGCCTTATCAGCTCTTTTCCCTCTGCCCTTTGCACTCTGCAATGGGTACTTAAGGCCCCGAAGCCCTTCCAAGAGCTCATTCTTCGACTCATACTTCACTGTTTTCTCAAGATCATTCCGGTTACTCCGTCCACTCCCATTGCGCGTTTCATTCCCCCCCACCATATAACCACACTTTTCCCCCACCAAATAACCGCACAACAACAACTGGCGTGCGGGCGTTGTGCTCTGCCCCCCCAAAGTCGTCCCCCGTCTGCCCTCCATGCGTCAATCCCTCCATCCCCCTTATGTGCTTCACTCTTTCCTCCGAAACAACCGAACAAATGCAGCTGGCATGTGGGAAGTGGGGGGTGCGGCTGCGAGAGCAAACAGCGGAGGCCACGGATGCACGCGTCAAGCACATGGAAGAGGTGGGCGGTTAGGGAGGGAGGAGGTGGGTGGGTATAATTTCTAGGACGGCGAAAACAGCGGAGGCCACGGATACACGTGTCAAGCACACGGAGGAGGTTGGTGTTTAAGGAGGGAGGAGAGGGGAGAGCGGAAAGAGAGGGGTTGGGTGGGAGATGGGAAGTGAGGGGTTGGATGGGGAAGGGGAGGGTTGGATGGGGGAACGGAGGGTTGGATGGGGGAACGGAGGGTTGGATGGGGGAACGGAGGGTTGGATGGGGGAACGGAGGGTTGGATGGGGGAACGGAGGGTTGGATGGGGGAACGGAGGGTTGGATGGGGGAACGGAGGGTTGGATGGGGGAACGGAGGGTTGGATGGGGGAACGGAGGGTTGGATGGGGGAACGGAGAGGTTGGGTGAGGGAGGTGAAGAGAGGGGTTGGATGGGGAGGGGGGGGGGGGGGAGAAGAGAGGGGTTAGGTTGGGGAGGGGAAACTTGAAGGAGGCAATGGTAGGGGCCAAGGGTTGGGGGATGGGAGCCCATTGTGGAGGTGGGAAGAAAGGGGAGGACGTCGATAGAGGGTCAAAAACAGCTGTCGGAGTGAATATTTTGCGGTGTTGCGGTGCGGGGAACGTAGGCGAGTGGCGAGAGTAAGATGGGTGGAATGTGGGAAAGAGAGGGGCAAGAAGGGAGCAGGAGAGGAAGGTATAACACACACAGTGTGTCAATGAAATTGCACTATGGCATGGCATATTCATGGCCTCTCAGGTGCTTGCCTTGCCTTTCCATCCTAGCATCCTTCAGCTCCTGTCCCCTCTCACCGTTGGCCTAGTCTACCACTGACTGGGTTAGACGGGCACGTTTGTTTGGTGGGAAAGCACACCCACCCACGCTGCACCTGTAGCCCTCCCACACTCAACCGGGGAACAATCACAGTGCCTCACCAACAACCTCAGGACGCGGCACCTCAAGCAATTTTGCACGATCGATCGCAGGATCGCTGATTCAACCGTACTGAAAAGCTGCTGAAAGCATTCAAATCTTTTGAAACCATTTGAAACTCCTAAAACATTCGATCCTGCGCAGGATCGATCGCAGGATCGGTGCTAGAGGTGTCGCGTCCTCACCCTCACTAGGGTCGTCTCCCCTCACTTGGGGCTCGTTAGGGCAATTGGCGCCCATTGGCGCTTATTGAGACTCGAAGTCGAGACCTTTGGCACAGATACCACTTGTTGGCCCAGCTTGTTACCGACTGAGCTAGAAGCTCTTGTTTGGTGGGTAGCACTCTCAACTGGTGAACCCCTCAGGCCACACCTGTGATCCGTCCACACTCAACTGGTGAACAACATCCAGTGACCCTTCAACATCACCCACCCATCTGTCGCTCCACAACAGGCTCTGGGCGGCATCCTGACAGTGAAGATACTGGCATTGGAGCGGGTTTTCACGGCAATCATCGAACGACTCAGGCGGACAGAAGTGTCCTTGTGAGTCAATCCCTTCAGCTCCCACCACTGTTCTCTGCCTCCTTCCCTTCCCGCCCCTCTCGTCCCACATTTTACTCATCTGATCACTCCAGCTACATGCATTCATGCATTCCATCCCTACAGAATCAACATTCGCTCCTTCCGTCCACCACCCTGCTGCCCAAACGGTCCTTTGTATTAATGCGGTGATTCGTACAAGCAATACGGTCCACCACCCTGCTGCACTCCATCTTCCCCCTTCGCCATCCAGCCTGCAGTGCACAGCCGCCATCAACGCCATCTTCTTTTTCTTCACGTCAGCGATTGCTTCTGGGTCGAGTAGAAAATCGCCTCAAAAATCCCCTCCATCTTCCCTTCCTCTCCAGCCTGCAGAGCACCGCTGCCATCAACGCCGTGACGGATGCCCTTTACTTCTCCTTCACCTCCGTGGTCGCCCTCGTCACCTTCGCCACCTTCACGTGCCTCGGAGGGCACCTCACTGCCTCCTCCGTGTTCTACGTGCTCACGCTGCTCGAGGTGCGTGCTTCCTTGTTTTCTGGTACCGCTGTTCTTCAGGCACCTCATAAACACCCTCATGTGCCTCGGAGGGCACCTCACCGCCTCCTCCGTGTTCCACGTGCTCACACTGCTCGAGGTGCGTCTTTCCTTGCTCCTCAGTCGAGCAGGGTTGACAAACCTGCTACTCATGGAGCAGTTGATATGCGTGTTCTCACAGCGCCCACTCATGGAGGCGCGTGTTCTCACAGCGCCCACTCATGGAGGCGCGTGTTCTCACAGCGCCCACTCATGGAGGCGCGTGTTCTCACAGCGCCCACTCATGGAGGCGCGTGTTCTCACAGCGCCCACTCATGGAGGCGCGTGTTCTCACAGCGCCCACTCATGGAGGCGCGTGTTCTCACAGCGCCCACTCATGGAGGCGCGTGTTCTCACAGCGCCCACTCATGGAGGCGCGTGTTCTCACAGCGCCCACTCATGGAGGCGCGTGTTCTCACAGCGCCCACTCATGGAGGCGCGTGTTCTCACAGCGCCCACTCATGGAGGCGCGTGTTCTCACAGCGCCCACTCATGGAGGCGCGTGTTCTCACAGCGCCCACTCATGGAGGCGCGTGTTCTCACAGCGCCCACTCATGGAGGCGCGTGTTCTCACAGCGCCCACTCATGGAGGCGCGTGTTCTCACAGCGCCCACTCATGGAGGCGCGTGTTCTCACAGCGCCCACTCATGGAGGCGCGTGTTCTCACAGCGCCCACTCATGGAGGCGCGTGTTCTCACAGCGCCCACTCATGGAGGCGCGTGTTCTCACAGCGCCCACTCATGGAGGCGCGTGTTCTCACAGCGCCCACTCATGGAGGCGCGTGTTCTCACAGCGCCCACTCATGGAGGCGCGTGTTCTCACAGCGCCCACTCATGGAGGCGCGTGTTCTCACAGCGCCCACTCATGGAGGCGCGTGTTCTCATAGCGCCCACTCATGGAGGCGCGTGTTCTCACAGCGCCCACTCATGGAGGCGCGTGTTCTCACAGCGCCCACTCATGGAGGCGCGTGTTCTCACAGCGCCCACTCATGGAGGCGCGTGTTCTCACAGCGCCCACTCATGGAGGCGCGTGTTCTCACAGCGCCCACTCATGGAGGCGCGTGTTCTCACAGCGCCCACTCATGGAGGCGCGTGTTCTCACAGCGCCCACTCATGGAGGCGCGTGTTCTCACAGCGCCCACTCGTGGAGGCGCGTGTTCTCACAGCGCCCACTCATGGAGGCGCGTGTTCTCACAGCGCCCACTCATGGAGGCGCGTGTTCTCACAGCGCCCACTCATGGAGGCGCGTGTTCTCACAGCGCCCACTCATGGAGGCGCGTGTTCTCACAGCGCCCACTCATGGAGGCGCGTGTTCTCACAGCGCCCACTCATGGAGGCGCGTGTTCTCACAGCGCCCACTCATGGAGGCGCGTGTTCTCACAGCGCCCACTCATGGAGGCGCGTGTTCTCACAGCGCCCACTCATGGAGGCGCGTGTTCTCACAGCGCCCACTCATGGAGGCGCGTGTTCTCACAGCGCCCACTCATGGAGGCGCGTGTTCTCACAGCGCCCACTCATGGAGGCGCGTGTTCTCACAGCGCCCACTCATGGAGGCGCGTGTTCTCACAGCGCCCACTCATGGAGGCGCGTGTTCTCACAGCGCCCACTCATGGTGGCGCGTGTTCTCACAGCGCGCACTCATGGTGGCGCGTGGGAGGGTATTGGATCGGATTGACTGGGATGGTCATTGTGCGCTGTTGCTACTTTCTGGACGACACTGTCAGCTTTGCCCACTGACATGCCCCGCCCTCCCCTTCCTCCCCTCCTCCGTATCCCCCACAGATACCGCGATACACCATGGGGCGGAAGGTGGCCCATGGCAATCAGAACATACGCGTTTTAGGACATTTCAAAACTTGCATGCCCCTCCCTCCACTCCCTCTGAACCCACAGATACCGCGATACACCATGGGGTGGAAGGTGGCCCATGGCATTCAGAACATACGCGTTTTAGGACATTTCAAAACTTGCATGCCCCTCCCTCCACTCCCTCTGAACCCACAGATACCGCGATACACCATGGGGTGGAAGGTGGCCCATGGCATTCCGAACATACGCGTTTTAGGACATTTCAAAACTTGCATGCCCCTCCCTCCACTCCCTCTGAACCCACAGTTACCGCGATACACCATGGGGTGGAAGGTGGCCCATGGCATTCAGAACATACGCGTTTTAGGACATTTCAAAACTTGCATGCCCCTCCCTCCACTCCCTCTGAACCCACAGTTACCGCGATACACCATGGGGTGGAAGGTGGCCCATGGCATTCAGAACATACGCGTTTTAGGACATTTCAAAACTTGCATGCCCCTCCCTCCACTCCCTCTGAACCCACAGTTACCGCGATACACCATGGGGTGGAAGGTGGCCCATGGCATTCAGAACATACGCGTTTTAGGACATTTCAAAACTTGCATGCCCCTCCCTCCACTCCCTCTGAACCCACAGTTACCGCGATACACCATGGGGTGGAAGGTGGCCCATGGCATTCAGAACATACGCGTTTTAGGACATTTCAAAACTTGCATGCCCCTCCCTCCACTCCCTCTGAACCCACAGTTACTGCGATACACCATGGGGTGGAAAGTGGTCCATGGCATTCAGAACATACGCGTTTTAGGACATTTCAAAACTTGCATGCCCCTCCCTCCACTCCCTCTGAACCCACAGTTACCGCGATACACCATGGGGTGGAAGGTGGCCCATGGCATTCAGAATATCGCCGAGGCATCTGTCAGCTTCAAGCGACTGTCGCACTTCTTGCAGGTCAGATTCATGCTCGTTTCATGGTCTTTTCATGCTCGTTTCATGCTCTATTCATTCTCTATGATCTTTTCATGCTCTTCCGTGCTGCCCGCGCATTGGGGTCAACGCCAATGCTGCGGCGCATGTCCGGTTGGAGCCTTACGCATGGGTGATGCGGTGCGATTGGTCACTGGGAGTGTGAAAGCATGCCGCCTCAGTGCGCCTCAGTGCGCCTCAGTGCGCCTCAGTGCGCCTCAGTACGCCTCAGTGCGCCTCAGTGCGCCTCAGTACGCCTCAGTGCGCCTCAGTGCGCCTCAGTACGCCTCAGTGCGCCTCAGTGCGCCTCAGTACGCCTCAGTGCGCCTCAGTGCGCCTCAGTACGCCTCAGTGCGCCTCAGTGCGCCTCAGTGCGCCTCAGTGCGCCTCAGTGCGCCTCAGTACGCCTCAGTGCGCCTCAGTGTGCCACAACGTGCCTCAGTGCGGTGGGTCGGTGGGTGCGAGTGATGAATGTGTATCTTCTCAAAAGTCAGACCAGCTTGCTGAGTACCATCTCATCCACTCTCAGAGTGCCTCTGCCTGTACATGCCTGTGCGTGCTGCCTGCACTCCAACAGACCAAACCCCACGGAGCCACGCACAAGGGAGCCCCTTCTCAGAACGGATATGCAGCACTGCTCCCAGAAGCGCGCCACTATGCCCTTGAGGCGATGTTTGAGTCCACTCAAGGAGCGAATTCACAGAATGGTTCTGCATTGCTCCCAGAGGAGCGCCGCTACGCCAGTGACACCCAAACCACCACCACCAAGCCTCTCAAATCCACAGCTACTGCTCTCACAGCACCGAGTCTCCAGTCCCCGCCATCGTTGGAGCTCGCCTCACTGCCCTGTGTCGTGAATCCCCTCTGCTGTCCCTTCCTTCTCACTCTCCCTTGCATCCCTGCCTGACTTCCTCACTCCCTCTCCCTCCACCTCTCATCCAGGTGACCGGCTCATCCCTTCTTCCTCCTGGCGTATGTAATCACTCTGTTCTGATCCCCTCCTTGTATCTCAGGCTTCCCACCGACTCCCTTACCTCTTTCACCCTCCATCGCTCCGGTCCCACAGCTAAGTCCAGCGTATCTCGCTTAGCCCTGCGCAGGTACACCTCCTGCCCCGCTTCCACTTGGTGACTCTTTCCTCCCATCCCTCCTGCTTTGCGCTGCTGGTACCGCCTTGCATCCCTCAGCTGCGCCACGTGTAGATTATCCAAGGCAGCTGGAGTCAGCTCTTTCAGATACCTCGCCCTCTTCTCCGCTAATCCCGCCCACAGGCTCGGCTCGTCCGCTTCAATCGTCGCCGAGAGCAGCTTCGGTGCATCCACAGGTAGCACCGGGTCCCGTCCGTACAGTAGATGATACGGGGACAAATGCTTCAGCGCTGCCTGCTTCGCAAACCGGTATCCCGCAAGCACCCACCAGAGATCCCTGTCCCAACTCCTCTTGTGTGTCTCTCCATAGGCCCGAAGTCCTTTCTTCACGGTTTGTATGAGCCTCTCTGTCAGCCCGTCCGATTGAGGGTGATACCTTGAGGTGACACGATGCGTAATGCCCATCTCCTCTAGCAGCTCATCAAAGCTCCCTTGAAATTCTGTCCCTTGATCGGTAAGCACCTCCCCACATGCACCGTACCTGGTCAGTACTAACTCCTCGAATGCGTCCGCTATCAGTGCGCTACTCTTGCTTGGTAATGCTCGCGCCTCCACCCATTTGCTCGTGTGCTCAACCATGATCAGGATGTACTGCTTCCCTCCTTTTGATAATGGTAACTCTCCTGCCAGGTCCAGCGACCACCTGTAACCTAACCCCCGAATCGGTAGTGAGTGCAGCTCCTCCCTCTCCTTTTCCAGCCTTGCTTTATTCCTTTGACAAGCCTCGCAGCTGGCTACCAGTCCTGCCACATCCTTCCCCATGCTTGCCCACCAGTACATGGTGCTCAGCAGCTGCCGTGTCCTGGTGATGCCGTAATGTCCCAGCTTCGCATGCACCTTCCCCATGATCCTGTTCCTCTCTTGCGGCTGCGGCACTACCCTCCATCCTTCGCTGGTCCTCAGCTGCAGCTGCTCCTGAAACCATCTGTAATGCTGCCCTCTGGCTCTTGCTCTCTCACTTACGCCTTCCTCCTCCAGTGGCTCCCCTTTGATCCAGCTCATGGTCTCCTCGTCCTCCCATATATCTGCTAACCGCTTCTCTCCCTTCTCCTGCCCCCAGCTTACGGCCACGGTGTGGGCTAAGGCCGCCAGCTGCGCTACCGGCTGCATCGGTGGTGGGTTCCTTGACAGCCCATCTGCATGCTGCAGTGTTTTACCCGGTCGGTGCCGGATCTCAAAGTCAAATCCCAACAACTTGATAGCCCATCGAGCGTTTCTTCCCGTCAGCTCTTGATTAGTCATCAACCATAGCAGTGGCTGATGATCAGTCACTAATGTGAAGTGCCGGCCCTGCAGGTATACCTTGAAATGCGTGATTCCCCACACTGCCGTCAGGCCCTCTCCCTCGTATGAGCAGTAGTTAGCCTCGGATGGGCTGCAGCTTCGGCTGGCAAAGGCTATCACTCTTTCCTCTCCCTCGATTTCTTGGCAGAGCACCGCTCCCATTCCCGTACTGCTCCAGTCCGTGTACAGGATGAAAGGCGCTTCTGCCCTCGGTATCTGCAGTAAGGTCCCTGTCCTAACTGCTTCGAGCAAGTCCTGCCTTGCTGCCTCCTCCACCTCTCCCCATTGCCAGCTCTTCCCTTCCCTCAGCAGCTGGTTCAGCACGTAGGCACGGCGACTGAAGTTTGACACAAACTTCCTGTAATAATTCAGGAAGCCGAGTAACGCCCGCAGCCCTGTCTTATCCTTTGGCGCTGCCAGGTTCTCCAGCACCTTAACCTTTGCCTCTTGTATGGCCAGCCGACCGCCCTTCACTTCAAACCCCAGGTAAGCCACCGTGTGCCTCGCTATCTTACACTTATCTGGGTGACACGTCAGCCCCGCAGCTGCTATTGCCTCCAGAGTCTGCTTCAGATCTTGCACATGCTGTTCTTTGCTGCTGCTGTAAATCAACACGTCATCAATGTAGCATGCTGCGGCTGGAACCCCCTTCAGCACTTGATCCATGGCTCTCTGGAACACTGCTGGTGCGTTACGAAGCCCGAAAGGCATAACGTTGTACTCATACAAACCGTCCACCCCGTGAAATGCTGTTTTCCGTTTATCTGCTTCTCTAATGCCTATTTGATTGAAGCCCTGCCGCAGGTCCAAGGTGGTAAAGACGGTGGCCCCTTCCAGCCGGTCGAAAATGTCTTCAGCAGTCGGCATAGGGTATCTGTCTGGGCTTGTAATCTTGTTCAGCTCCCGAAAATCCCCGCACATCCGCTTCGCTAGAATCTTTCCCGTGATGTCCTTCCTAGCAGCCACCACCGTGGCCGCCGCGTAACTTGATTCTGACGGGCGAATAATCCCTGCAGCTAGCAACTCCTCACATTTCTCCTTGCAGATGGCTGCATCCTCCGCATTCATTCGCCTCCTGCGTTGGTATGTAGGTAGCTCAGTCGTGAGGTTCAGCTCCAGCTCTCTCCCCTTGTATCTCCCCAATTCCTGCAGGTTATAGGCGAAGGTGCCCCTATGCTGCTGCAACACCTCCCTGATTGCTTCGGCTGCTTGCTCCCCTATACCTGCCCCCAGCTCCCAGGTTTTGCCCGGCTCTGCTTCCGTCCCTACTGGTGGTGCAGTTTTGATCTCCTTCTCGTCTGTGAGCTTGCTGACAGCGGCGTAAGCAGCCTGCTTGCTACCCCTGCACTTCTCCTCTTCCGTCTTTCCCTTTTTCTCGGCTGGCCCCTTTCTCATCTCACTAATTAGCCATCGCAGTGAGTGCTGGTCTATGGCTCGGCCCAAGGCAGCTTTGCGCACCTCCTCCCCTACTCCATCTGCTGCAGTTGCCCCCGGCAGGTACCCCATGGCTAATTCCCTCTCCAAAGCAGTCGGCTCCTCCCATCTTTTCTTACGGTGATCATACACCATCCCTGGACCTGGAGTCCCTTCCACTTCGACAAATCCCCGTGCCTTTGCATAGGCCACCAGTGTCGGCCAGGCCCTCCTCGCTTCCCCCACTCGGTTACACTGATACTGTCGCGGATGATCTGGCTTTACCACTGGGGCGGCCACTCTCCCTGGTTCCAGAATGTCTTCCACGATTCGGCTCTCATCTCTCTCCACCCTTGCTAATCTCGCCCTCAGTTCTCCTTCTGGCAGGACGTTCTGCCAGTACTGCCGCACTCTATGACACCTTGCCCCCAGCTGTGCCCCGTCACAACTCACTCCCCTTCCCAATTCTGCTTCCACCAGTTCGCGTACGGCTCGGACCGGCTCCCTGCTATCACTCCTCATATCCACATGTTCTAGGATGTACGCATATTCCCCGCCAGATTCTCTCGCCCACCTCATAATCGTCAGCAGTGTTGTCACCATCGCCGTGCGGTCATCCTGCATTCCTCTTCCCTTCCCCGCTCGGGAAGTACCCTGGCACTCCCACCCTGCTACCAACAGGTCCACCTTTCCCCAGCGGTTCACGTCTTCCTTGGTAAGCTGTCCCACATCCCACTTCTCATTCTGCATGGCCTCCCGTATCACTTCCTTCGCCAGTTGAGCTGGGTACCGCTGCTGCAGTATCTGTGCATGCTTCCAAGCCATCCTCCTCACCTCCGGGTCTATTTCCACATACACCCATCTTTTCACCTTCAGCCCTGCTTCCAGTGCCGCCGCTAAGCCTGCCCCCAGCCCTCCAAACAGCTCCACTAAGGTAACGCTATACTGGTTCAGGTTAGCTCCGACCTTGCCCTCTTTGGTACTCCCCCTCCTTACGCTCTCTCTTCTCATGCCCTCCGCCCTCCAAGCCTTCTTCGGTTCTGTCTTGACAAACCGCACTGGCAGCTCACTCAACTCCTTTCCCTCAATCCAGAAATCCGAGCGGTAGAGCACCTGTTCCTGCCAGGTACAAATTGTTGTACCTATCTTGAATAGCAGCTCCATCCCCAGCAGAACATCATAATCCTCCGATTCGGTCAGCCCACATTGCACTCTTATCGTCGTTTCTCCCTTCTCTCCCGGCTGCAGAGTAATCTCGATGGGGTCCTTAGTACAGGGCATCCACTTTGGTGCCCCTCCCTCGGCTGTCATGATCAGTATGCCTCTGTTTACTATTTCCAAGTCCCCTTTCTCCCGTAACTGTTCTGTCAGCTTCCTTCCCAGCAGGACACTCTGTGCGCCTGTATCCACCACGGCGTTCTCCACTAATATGCCCCTGACAGCCACTGCCTTAGGTTCTACCACCAGGGCCGTGGGTTGGCAGACGAGTCTCTCCTCAGGATGCCGTCGAGCCGTCCTCGGCTTATGGCTTTCTTCTTGTTGCCGAGGGGTTCTCCTTTCAGGCTGCTTCTGCTCTGTCCTGCCATCCTTCCCGCCGCTGCGCAGCCCCAACTCCTCTCGGTCTCTAGGTGGTATGGCCATGGCCCCGTACTCTGCCTCCTCTCTCTCATACTCCTCCTCTTCATCGTCCTCCCAAGCCAGCAATGCCTTCTCAGGGTCCTCACTAATCTCAGTCTTCTCCAACTGTCCCTTCAGCTTCGCCACCTCTCTCTCTAACTGTAACTCCCTTGCCGATTTTCCTCGCATTCTCTCTCCCTTGCTGTAGCACCTGTCTTCAGTATGCCCCCTTTTCCCACACCCGGTGCAGATAGGTGCCTTGGGGCAGTCACGTCTGAAATGTCCTTTCATCTTGCAGGTGTCGCACACTATGTCTATGGCGCAGTCCTTCCGCACGTGCCCCTTTTCGCCGCACTTGTAACACCTGCGTCTATCTTCAGACGGCCTCTCTCTTCGTTCCTCTTCCCCCTGTCTCCCTTCCACCGCTGCCCAAGCAGGCCTCCGACGTTCGCTCGGCCGACTGAAGCTTGACCCCCTCATTCCTTCGAAAAACCTCTTTCCATCCTCCACTTCTTTCGCCACCTGGTACACCTGTCGCAGCTTCGCCCGTACCCCCAAGGAGTATAGTCGGCTTCTCATGTCTCGTATCAAGTCCCCATCCAGTCCGTTGACGAACTTGGTCACTAGGATGCGCTCCTCCACGCAGCCCATATCCTCTGCCAGCTCCAGTAAACGGTTATAGTAGGCCAACATCGACTCTGCCGGCGCTCTTCTGAAGTCTTGAAACTCCGCCATCCGGTCCGCCGAATGCCCCGGGAACTGCTCCTGCAGGCTTTCCAAGAAACGGTCCGTAATATCTGCCGGTAAGATATCTCCTCTGTTGCTCCGCATCAGCAGCCCCTGCCTCTCCACGCGGTAATGAGTCAACGCCTCTCCTTTGAGAGTCCTCCCCAAGCCTCTGAAAAATTCAATAGGATCCAGTCGCTCCCTATCCCAGCAGTAGCGAATGTCTTCAATCATCATCAGGTAGTTTTTCAGCGTGGGCTCCTCTCCAGGTGCCCCCGAGAAGCGGTCTGGTACCTCAATTTTGGGGGGTGTAGTACTCATCGACCTGCCTGTCCCCCAGCTTGTGTTCCCTCCTTCTCCACTCCCTGCAGGTCGCCCTGCTCTCCCGGCCTCCATGGCTTCGTATCCTCCAGCAGAGAATCCGTGATATGCTTCCTTGCCTCGCTGACTTCGTCGTTCCACCGATTGATCGTCTCCTCCCCTCAGACTACGCCTTTCTTCACGTTGATCTTCTTCTCCTCTCTGACTCCGCCGTTCTTCTCGATGATCTTCCCCTCCCTTCTGACTTCGTCGATCTTCATGTTGATCGTCTCCTCCCAGATCTGGATTTCCTCGGCGAGATCCACTCCCCACAGGTCGCCCTCCACTCCTCTCCGCGGGCGAGTCGCATGCAGAGCTCGACTGTTGTTCTCCGTGTACACCTCGTTCTTCCTCCCGATCCCCGCCTTGGTTACCGCGCGAGATCGTCCCTCCTTCGCCCGCCCGAAATCCAGGCATCCTGACCGGCGGATCACGTCCCTCCATCATCCTCGCCGGGAATCGGTGTCCAGAGCGCAGTTGATGAGTGTGAAGCTCACGGTCGAAATTACTCATTCCTCACGGTGCATCACCGTGGGCAACTCCAGGCAGTAGATCCTGCCACCTCTTCTCTCAACAATCGTAATCCTGACTACCCTTTTTGCTTGTATGAAACAAGACTTAACTCCCTCGCAAGGGCTCCGCCGATTTGCTTCAGCTCCTCTCTACTGCTAGTTCCCCGTGGTTTAGGAAATCACAATTGCAGTAAACGAGAAACATACAAGCAAAAAGCAACGAGTCTGAGCGCTACCCCAGTCTACATCCCCTCCTGCCTAGGTGCCTTGTCCCGCAAGCTACCTCTACTCCTAAGCGCGAGTCAGCCGAGCTGATCGCGTAGGCTTCAAGGTGCTAGCTGGGTCCCACTCGGCCCACTAGGCATGCACCGCCTTCCAGCCTGGTGAATGGCGAATTGAATTCCCAGGCTGGCTGGAATCGAATTCGCCACCAACCTCCCCCCCAACCACCTCGAAATCCTCAGCAGCTCGACTCTGTATAGTACAGTAACATTCCAAAAGAGCAAACAAAGTAAAATGCAAAAAGCAGTAAACTATAGTACACCTCACCTTGGCTGCTGTGTAATTCACACTTAGTTGCCAGCTAAGTGTTAATCACGCGACACCTGCCACAGCCTCTCCTCCTACTCTGCTCCCACACGCCTTCCTTCCACCCCCCGTGCTGCCTTGGTGCTTGAAGGGGCTTCTTTTTCTTGGGGAGAAGCAGTGGGAGAAGCTCGGTGCGAGGGGGAGATGGAGGACGAAGAGAAAGGAGAAGGATTGAGCAGAAGGAGGGAGAGCCATGCACTTCAAGTGGCATCGGCAGGGCATGTATTTGATCTCTCTGAGACTCCCTCCACGGGCTGTGGCTGCACGGACGATGGGTGCAGGGGCTATGGCACAGGTTATGGCACGGGCTACAACAGAAGCAGCTGCAGCGTCGCACACGTCCCCTCAGCTTTCCGCATGTGTTTCCCGCAGCGGTTCATGGGCTCTCATGCTGCTGGTCTTTCCCCTGCTGCAGCTTCTGCTTCTTCTTCTGCTGCTGATGCTGCTGCTGTGAGTGCGCCTGTGACTGCACAGGGGGGCCAAGAGCGGCAGAAGGAGATGGGCTGGCGGGACGATGCACCGAGCGGGCGGGTGGAGGGAGTGAGCGTGAGGCTGGGAGAGGCGGAGCTGCTGGGAGTGACTGGCAAGGTGAGCCCTTAACTCGTTGGTTGTAGCGTGCCGCATGCTATGGCATGCACGTGCCTTTGCGCGTGTTGTACGCCACACCACTGTTTGTCGCAGCCTACTGTGCTGCCTGCTGTTAGAATCAAGCTGCCATCGTGCGATTCTCCTTTCCTCCCTCCCTTGCTACCACGCAGACGGGCAGTGGCAAGTCGTTGCTGCTGCTGGGTATTCTGGGGGAAGTGCCTCTCTCATCCGGCGCCATGCACCGCTCCGTGCCCTCCCTCGCCTATGCATCGCAACAGGTCTGCCGCCCACTCGCCTCTCTCTCACCCTTCCCGGTCGTCTCTATCTCATGCTTTGCCACTCGTCTCTCTCCCACCCTTCCCACTTGCCTATCTCCCACCCTTCCCACTCGCCTCTCTCCCACCCTTCCCACTCGCCTCTCCCTCTCCCTTTGCCACTCGCCTCTCACCCTTTGCGCTTCCCCATTCCACCAGCCACTCCTCATCGAAGGGACGGTGCGAGACAACATCCTATTCGGCACACCGCTAGACGAGGCACTGTACGCCAAGGTACTACAATGCATCCCAAGGAACGTCTACCCTGATTCTGTCTCGCCTTTGAACGTCTCCCAATGCCCCCCTCTGCTGTCCATCTTCCCCGTTGACCCCCTCCTCCTCGCTGCCCTCTCCCCCCCCGCGTCTCTCATTCCCTCTCCACTCAAGGTGTTGGACGCCTGTGCTCTGCACTCGGACTTGGCTCTGTGGCCATGTGGTGATGCCTCATTGGTGGAGGAGGGCGGCGGCAATCTCAGTGGCGGGCAGAGGACGCGCGTTTCGCTTGCCCGGGCGGCGTATGCTGCACTTCACTGCAAGATGACTGCTGAGTCGGCGTATGCCACCCTGCACCGCTGCTCTGCCACACCACAGTTGCACGCTGATAATAATGGTGGCTGCGACAATCGCCATAGCAACAGTAGAGACAATCGCAGTAACAATAGCAGCAGCAGCAGCAGCAGCAGCAGCAGCAGCAGCAGCAGCAGCAGCAGCAGCAGCAGCAGCAGCAGCAGCAGCAGCAGCAGGGGTGCTCCCCCACCCGTGCTGGTCCTCCTAGACGACCCTCTTGCTGCGTTGGATCCAGCCGTTGCCAGCCACGTGTTTCAGCAGTGCGTGTGTGGGCTGCTGGCAGGGTTGCCCAGGATTGTCGTCACTCACCACGTGCAGTACCTTGGCAGGTATGGTCATGGGTGCGGGGGAAGAGGGTGGGGAAGGGGCCAAGAGGGAGGGGAACAGTTTTTTTTTCTGGACAGTAACCACAGATGTACCTTCTTTCCTTCTCCATGCCCAGTAAGCCCTTCTCTCTATCCCAGAATCCTCTTGCTGTCATCCTCATCCTCATTCTTCCTCCCTCTTCTCCCTCTGTATTTGTTCTGCCCTCCTCACTCACCCCCATCCCCAGCTGCGACAGAGTGTTGCTGCTGGATGACGATACAGCAGCGGCGTGTGGTGCGTGGAGTGACCTCTGCGCCCTGCCCTCTGCTCAACAACACTGGGGAAATCACCCTCCGGGCCCGGATTTTTCGGACGTTTCTGATGATTCCGGCACTTGCAGTGACAGTGCTGTCTGTGCCACTGACTCTGACTCTGAATTTGACTCCTGCAGCAGCACTGACACGGATGAGGATGGCACCCTTGCTGGCACACAGAGCTGCAGATGCAAAAATGGCACCACGGCGGCCTATGTGAGCAGCAGCAGCAGCCGCAGCAGCAGCAGCAGTGTATGCTCTGTAGATTGCGACAGGAGCAGTGACAGCGACACGGATGCGCCAACAGATTCCACAGACGACTGCCCCTTGATAGGGAGCAAGGTTGTGGTGGAGAAGGCGGAGGTGGCAAGAGGGCGGGGTGTAGACGCATGCAGAGAGCGGGAGTGTGTCTCACATGGGGGTCAGCTTGCTGAGGGTTTGATATGCGAGTCGGGAGAAGCAGCAGCAGCAGCAGCATCAGCAGCAGCGGAGCTGAGAGGCGGGGAGGAGGGAGTGCTGGAGGCGAGTGGCTCCACAGAGGGCGATGAGCAAGGTAGGCCGGCAACGCACGGTAGGCCAGCAACGCACGGTAGGCCGGCAACGCACGGTAGGCCGGCAACGCACGGTAGGCCGGCAACGCACGGTAGGCCGGCAACGCACGGTAGGCCGGCAACGCACGGTAGGCCGGCAACGCACGGTAGGCCGGCAACGCACGGTAGGCCGGCAACGCACGGTAGGCCGGCAACGCACGGTAGGCCGGCAACGCACGGTAGGCCGGCAACGCACGGTAGGCCGGCAACACACGGTAGGCCGGCAACGCACGGTAGGCCGGCAACACATGTCCAATGCTTTCCGCTCTGAATCCCGAAAGGCTGCTTCGACGTGTTGCTTTCCTCGCTGTCCCTGAAACAGTTCCGTATCACAACCCCTTAACCCCGCCACTTCCTCCCTGCCCTTTATCCCCAAACCTCCAACTTCCCATCCCATGCAATCGCTGTGTGTGCCTGCAGGCCTGCTGGACGTGGAGGGATGGCAGCATGGTGCCATCCCTATGTCGGTGTTTTGGGGCTACGCCAGACAGATGGGCGTGCTGCCCCTGCTGCTCATCGCAGCTCTCTTCCTCGCCGCACACGTCTCAAACTGCCTCGCAAGCTGGTGAGAAAAAAAATCCTCCCCCTCTCACACACTCAAACTCCCCCGCTTTTTCCCCTTCCCTCCTCCATGCCCCGTTCTCCTCTTTATTGCCTGAACGTCTGTGGTGTGTGTGTACTGCACAGCATATGTAACTGTTGGGATGCAAGTGCACACACACTCGTTCCCAATGCCGTATGTGTTGGCCCACACTGCTATCGATTGGGTTAAAGGGGCATGTTTGTATAGTGGGTAGCATACCCAAATCCCCTCAAATTCCATAACGCACATGTAGCCCTCCCACACTCGTTAGGGCATTGGCGCTCATTGGCACACACTAGGACTCGAACCGGAGACCTTTGGCTCTGATACCATTTGTTGGCCCAAAATGATACCAACTTGGTTAAAAGGTCATGTTTGTATGGTGGATGGCACAACCATACCTATCCAAAGTGCCTGTAGCCTGGCCACGCTCAACTAGGGAGTGATCCCAGTGCCCCAACAACAATTTGTCTGTGAAAATTGCCCATCTGTCCCTCCCTCCCGCTCCATGCTTGATGCCACTACCTGTTTTCGTCATTCACAACGGCCAACAATTCTTGCCACTCCTTCCCTCCCCACAAGGTTCCTGGGCGTGTGGACGGACACGCCCCACACCATACACCACCCGCTTCTCACCCTCACGGCCATCGCCCTCTCCTGTGTGGCCCTCTCTCTCCTCGCCTCGCTGCTCTTCCACCGCGCTGCTCTGCGCGCCTCCTCCTGCCTTCACTCACGCATGCTGGCCTCCGTGCTCGCCTCGCCGCTCGCCTTCTTCCACCGCAACCCCACCGGGCGCGTGCTGAACCGGTTCAGTGAGGACCTCGGGGTGACGGACGACGTGCTGCCAGAAATGCTGCTGGGATTCGTCAATGTGAGTGGGAGTATGGTAGGGATGGGGTGAGGGGGAGAAGGGTAGATGGAGGAGCGAAATTGAAGGTGGTTGGGTGATGCTTGAATCACTTTTGAAAACTCTCGAAGGCAGGAAGGGAAGTAAGGAGGGGGGTTGTAGGAAGAGAATTGGGGGAAAGCAGGGGATGGGTGGGATAGATGCATACCCATACGTTTGTTGCAATACGAGCTGGGGGATTACATTGGAATCACTTTTGAGAATTCTCAAAAGTGATCCCAACACACCCAATTGTGTTGGAAGTGGGCACTGGGATGATCCTGAGGGGTTTCCCAAGGGCTACGGGAGTCGTCTTGGCGGGGTATGGGTGCGTGTACCCACTATACAAACATGTCATTTTATCTTAGTTGGTTAGCAAACTGGAGTTAGGGCGCATTCTCAAGCTGGGACACCATCCGAAATTCCCGGGAAGCTGCGAAATCCGTACCGGTATAAAATGTGAAGCAATGTTACTCGGATCCTGGACCGCCCAGCACGATCGTGTTTGCCACAATCCTAGATACCTTGGGACGAGATTCCAGCTCTTTTTGCCTTCAAACGGGCCCGCCGCATGAAGAACAGTCCCCATATAAGTGCATTTGTGAGCCCGGGAAGCTGCGAAATCCGTACCGGTATAAAATGTGAAGCAATGTTACTCGGATCCTGGACCGCCCAGCACGATCGTGTTTGCCACAATCGTAGATAGCTTGAGACGAGATTCCAGCTCGTTTTGACTTCAAACGGGCCCGCCGCATGAAGAACCGTCCCCATATCCTTCAAACGGGCGTTTGTGAGCCCGGGAAGCTGCGAAATCCGTACCGGTATAAAATGTGAAGCAATGTTACTCGGATCCTGGACCGCCCAGCACGATCATGTTTGCCACAATCCCACACGTCTCGCAATGTTGACGTGGCATTAATTCACATTTGAAAGTTGTCCCACGCAGTTCGACATTTGGACACAATGAGTCCAACTGGCCATGGTCGCAATGCCTGGCCTGTCCGTCAGTGTGCGACAATGGAGATCGTGCCACGTTTGTTGGGTGTGGGGACTTCGGTGTTAGACATGACAGTTTCGTACACATAGCCGTCAACAAATCTTTTCAGCCTGCCCACGAAACCCATTTCTGCATTGCTTACGTGAAGCTGCCAATATCACCCATGTTGACTTGATTTGACCAAAATTTTACGACAAGCGCAACCGTCAGGCTCGGCCGTTTAGGTTTTGCCAGTCGAAGTTCGTCCAACACTGGTATGCGAGCTGGCGCGTCAGTTCAATTGGATACCTGACGTGCGACGCTGTCGACATCTGTTGCCCGCCAAAATGGGTTTCGGTGGGATGTTGGGAGGTTTTCCCCCAAAAACACCATCAGCCTCGTAAAAGCCATCAGGTGGGGGAACTTCGATGGTGTCCCAACTTGAGACCGCCCTCTTATTCCTGCATGGTGCGGTGAGTGTGGAAGAATGCACACGGGGGACCTGGGTTCGAAACCTGGTGTCGGCAGGCTTCCTGTGCCCTAGTGGTGGGCCCTCCCAGTGAGGGGAGTGTTGGAAGTGGGCACCGGAGTTAGTGGATCCAAACCCACTATACAAACATGCACATTTTTCCCAGTTGGTCAGAGAACTGGAGTTATGCTTGTAATTCGTTCTGCTCAATAATAGCTGACGGGCCACGGCAGCTGGTGATTACTACGTGAACGCAGAAAGATGCACCCGCCATAAATCCAGCCAACCACTCTCTCATCTCGATCCTCCATCATCCCTCTCCCCTTATAAACATACCTTCCTTCCCGCCCTCCCATTCACTTGCCCACAGTCCGTAGGCTTGTGCATTGCGGCGGTGGTATCGGCGTGCATAGCCGTTCCTTGGACACTAATCCCCGTGCTGCCGCTGCTGCTGCTGCTGCTGCAACTGCGGCATTTGTACGTGTGCACGGCGAGGGAGGTCCGGCGGATGGAATGCACAACACGCAGCGTGCTACTTTCTCGGTTCCTTGCCAGCATGGAGGTGAGACTCATCAGTCATAACTCTCTCTCACTAGCTGTACGTGTACACGGCGAGGGAGGTCCGGCGGATGGAATGCACAACACGCAGCGTGCTACTTTCTCGGTTCCTTGCCAGCATGGAGGTGAGACTCATCAGTCATAACTCTCTCTCACTAGCTGTACGTGTACACGGAGAGGGGGGTCCGGCGGATGAGATGCACAACACGCAGCATGCTGCTTTCTCGGTTCCTTGCCAGCATTTAGGTAAGCTGCTTCTCTCAAACAGCCTAAGTCTTTTTCTCCTGGGTACGATTTATAAGAGTGGCGACAGCCTATGTGTCTAAGGGAGCTCCAACAGGGGCTCCAACACTACGAAGCAATCCCCAGATAAGATGTCTTCTCCTAGGTTGCCTAGGGGCGGGTTCTTAGAATGGGATGCCTCATTTGACCTGATGAGGTAGCTGGGGACTTGCCCTCGCTTTAGATCTGATGGCACGGCAAGGGAGGTTTGACGGATGGTATGCACAACATGCAGTGTGCTCGTCTACTTAGCATGATTATGGTAGCGGTCGGTCTTCTTAGCCGTCGTCTCCCAAGAAGCCCTTCCCCTCCCCTTGATCGCTTGTGGCCAACTGGGGCTGACGGGGTCGGTGGGGCTGATGGGGTCGGTGGGGCTGATGGGGTCGGTGGTGGTCACGATGCTGCAGGGTGTTGGGACCCCGTTTTGAGAATTCTCAAAAACACCCCACTGGGGCTGATGGGGTCGGTGGTGGTCACGTCGCGAATTCCAACTGCCCTCGAGGTACGATCCCGTGGAGAAAGGTATGCTTTATGGCCGTCAACAGGGCTGAAAACAGAAGTTTTGTTGTGAACCCATGAATGCACACACGTGCGTGCACACATCCACACACACACACACACACACACACACTCACACACTCACACACACACTCACACACACACACACTCACACTCACACACACACACACACACACACATGTCAAATTATGTGCAACACATATTGTAGGCTAGGTTGAGTTAATCCTTAGAGGGTACGACATTTGTACTTATGCACCCTGTATGGCCTGCTGTTAGTTATTTCTGTTCAGTTCTACTTCTCAGCAACACACACGCACACCCACGCATCCACTGTCACACGCACACCCACGCATCCACTGTCACACGCACACCCACGCATCCACTGTCACACGCACACCCACGCATCCACTGTCACACGCACACCCACGCATCCACTGTCACACGCACACCCACGCATCCACTGTCACACGCACACCCACGCATCCACTGTCACACGCACTTTCCAAGCTCACCTCAAATCTATACTCCCCTCCCCCTCTCCCCCCCCCCAGGGCCTGCCGACCATCCGAGCCTTCTCCCAACAACGCCGCTTCCACCGCCTCTTCCTTCGCCACGTCAGCGCCAACGCCACCCCGCACCTATTCTGGCTTGCCACGTGGGAGTGGCTGGGCTTCCAATTGGACCTCCTCGTTGCCGCCGCCCTGCTCTCCGCCGCCCTCGCCGCCGTGGCCCTGCGCCACTCGCTGCCGCCCGCCATGGCCGCGCTGGCTTTGTCTTATCTGCTGCAGCTACCAGACTCCCTGCGCTGGGCGCTGCAATACGGAGCAGAGCTTGAGAACACGGTGAGGCGAGAGAAAGGGTGAGGCTAATGGAGAGGGGTGCAATGGTTGTGATGTTTCTGGGTGTGAGTGAAGTGAGGGAAGGGATGAACGGAGGCAGACAGACCATGGAGGGACGGGGAAGCAAGCACCCAGGAATGCGCCCCATCTGCAGAGCAGAGTGTGCTGCAAGGGAAGCAAGCACCCATCTCCTGACTCAACCCTTATGGGATGCATTCTGATGATACACACTATTTCCACATCACATTCTCATGCCGTGAAACGGTGCGAACTTGGCAGGGAGCTCATCCCTCGTGCACAAGGTCATGCATTGTTTTCTCCCTGTACCTCAGTGACTTTTGAGTCGACTCAAAAGTCACCTTGTTTTCTCCCTGTACCTCGAATCGAACACCCCATCCATGGCAGTTCACGAGTGTTGAGCGCACACTCGAGTACACCACGATTCCAAGTGAAGTGCCCCCACCGAGCCCCAACAGTCAATCTAAGCGTCAGCAGCAGCAGCAGCCATGGCAACAGCAGCAGGTGAAGCAGCAGCAGCAGCAGCAGCATCAGCAGCAGAAGCAGCAGGAGCAGCAGAAGCAGCAGCAGCAGGAAAAGTCCACCGCAAAATCCACAATATTCAGCGTGCTGTACAGAGCACTGCGAACAGCAATCAGCCTCCTTCCCCCCAAATCACTATGCGCTCACATTCCTCTCCTCCCCAACTGCCAAGCCACAAATGCAGCATCACACAGCGAGGAGGAGGGGAACAGCAGAAGCTCCCTTCGCCCCCCTTGGCCGTCAGCAGGTGCAGTGCGAGTGGAGCAGCTGACAGTGCGGTATGGCAGCACGGGGCAGGCAGTGCTGCGCAGCTTGAGCTTTCGGCTCGCAGGAGGAGAGAAGTGTGGTGTGGTGGGGCGAACAGGTGAGGCTGTGTGGGATTGCCTCTGTAGTTCAACGTACCATGATTGGGCTGGTTCAAGGTGGAGAATTCTCAAAACTGATCCAATATACCTGGTAGGGATGGTGTGATTCAGGGCTTCTGTGAAAAAGCGCTTGAAACTGTGTTGGCTGGTATGTGTTCTCTATGTGTCTGCCTCGTCTCAACCCATCAGGTGCAGGAAAATCCACACTCATGCTCGCTCTGCTGCGGTTGGTGGAAGCGTCTTCAGGGAGCATTTGCATTGACGGTGTCGACATTGCATCGCTGCCCCTAGCCACCCTGCGAAGCGAGGTAGGCTTCTTAGGCACCTCAGAGTCCTTGCATTGCTGCCTCTCGCTGCCGTGCAAAGCAAGGCAAGCCTTTGAGGCACCTCTAAAGACAATACATCGCTTTCATTTGCAACCCTGCAAAGCAAGGTAAGCATCCAAGTGGCACTTTTTAGTTGACTCAAAACTACTCTCAACCGTGCGAAGAAGGGTACGCCACAACGTAGCATTCACATCGACGGTGCCGACATTTCATTGCTGCCCCTTGCAACCCTGCGCAGTAAAGTAGCATTTCCTTTCCTCCACCCCCCCTTTCCTTTCCTCCATCTGTTGGCTACCTTTTCAATAGTTACCATGCATAAATTTATTTCATCTATTGTGCATGAACTTGTGGTTTTCAATGGTCCTTCCTGTTTCAGGTGGTGGCCATTCCTCAAGAGCCGGTTCTTTTCAGCCAATCATTGCGATTCAACCTTGATCCCCTGGGGTAAGATGACTCATTCCGACCACGAATCTCAAAAGGTTCTCACCGCACCTTATGTGTGTGTTCTCATTTACTCAATCCTTCAACCTCTAGTGCACTTTCACGCTCCAAAAACCCGCTTCTTCCCCCCCATACCCTCCCATCCCGTGTCTGATCTCCCCCACCCATGCCCCAATCACAGGCAGCACAGTGACGAGGCCCTGTGGTCGGTGCTGGCAACGGTGCGCCTAAAGCCGCTGGTGGCGGGGCTGCTGGGCGGGTTGGATGGTGCCCTGGCTCAGGGCGGGGGGAACCTGTCCCTGGGGCAGAGGCAACTGCTCTGTCTTGCAAGGTAATCACATGGGGAATTCCATCGGGGGCAATCACAATGCAGGTCGTATCTCTTGTCTCAGAATCGAATATTGACCCACAGTTATCACATGGTAAACTACGTATTCTGCTTCCTCTCTTCTCTTGCTCATGGTGTTTGTTTTCCATGCAGGGCGTTGCTGGCGTCGACACGCGTGTTGCTGATGGATGAGGCGACAGCGAGCATGGATGGGGAGAGCGATGCAGTAATTAAAGACATCCTGTGGGAGTCGTTCAAGGACAGCACCGTCATCACCATCGCACACCGCCTCTCCACAGTTCTGCATTATGATCAGGCAAGCCTTTTGAGACGTCTCCAGAGTCATTCAAGGACAGCACCGTCATCACCATTGCACACCGCCTCTCCACAGTTCTGCATTATGATCAGGCAAGCCTTTTGAGACGTCTCCAGAGTCATTCAAGGACAGCACCATCATCACCATTGCACACCGCCTCTCCACAGTTCTGCATTATGATCAGGCAAGCATTTTGAGACGTCTCCAGAGTCATTCAAGGACAGCACCGTCAACACCATTGCACACCGCCTCTCCACAGTTCTGCATTATGATCAGGCAAGCCTTTTGAGACGTCTCCAGAGTCATTCAAGGACAGCACCGTCATCACCATTGCACACCACCTCTCCACAGTCCTTGATTATGACCAGGCAAGTCAGAAGAGTGCCGCTTGTGCCTCTTGCTCGCATGTAATCACTCTCGTCTGTGTAAGTGCGTGTGCGCACGCACACCCTACATGTGCGCAAGTCCCACCTGCTGAAAAGCTGCCTAATGTTTTGGTTCATCGACTATCCAATCCCCATTTTTCGCAGGTTCTTGTCATGGAACGTGGGCAGAGCATTGAGTTTGGAGCTCCAGAGAATCTCAGAAAACTCAAGTCCAGTGCTTTCTTTAGTATGCTAGCAGATAATACCTCCAAGATAGAGTAAAGACCTCTACGATAGTGTACTACATTGTAATATATGTAATATACATAATTATATTATATTGTATGGCTTATGATTTTATGACCTTGCTGTCAGAAGTTTCGGTTTCAGCCATCCATACTGGAATTGGAAGGGGTTTAAAAACTTTGATATCACTACACATCATAAAAATTAACATCAATTACGGTAAGTTCCCATAAAGAAACACATATTACATACATGTGTATTGTATTGTACGACAGGAAGGGACACGATTTATCGGAGGGCAATAAGCCATCTTGATTGAGCCGGCACAAAGACAAGGCACCATGTACCTCTCAGCAATATTGATCGATACGGTAATGCGCAATTGACTCTTCATTGCGGTGGGGTCAAATGGGACTGTGAGAGAGAGCATGCAGGTTCGAGCCGTGTTCTGAGTCGACTAAAAAATGCAGCTTCGAGTTGTGCCACAACCACCTTATGTTTTTTTAGAATTCTAAAAAAACATGAGCCGTGTTCTGAGTCCACGAAAAATGCAGCTTGGAGTTGTGCCACAACCACCGGCAGCACTTGCCCTGCCTGCTGTCCAGTCCACAACATAATACCAGTGCCAGTACCAGATTCACGATTGCATTAACAGGCTGTCAGTAAGTGGAATCTACTTTCTGAGAATTCTCACAGAACAGATTCAGCTTGACACCCCAATACAGAATACCTCTGCCAGTACCAGATATCCACAATCGCAGTAGCAGGCAGCAGGCTGTCAGTCCAGCCTACTGCAGCACTTGCCCTGCCTACTGTCCAGTCCAATGCTGCTACTGCCAGTACCAGATATCCATGGTCGTAGCAGCAGGCTCTCAGTCAGTGGGAGGGCAAGCAGCTTCGACCTGTGACTCCACTTCACAGGCTGCAGCACTCGAGGTGACATTTGAGTCGACTCATAAACCCTGTCTAAGTTGGAACCGGGCTGTGGGTGGGGGGGACTCATAAATTCTGCATTCTGTGACTCCAAACACGACACTGTAGCGCTCCAGGTAGCTTCCAAGTCGATTACAAAGTCCTAGACCCTATCTAAGTTGAAACCGGGCTGTCAGTGGGAGGGCAGGCAGCCTCCAGGCGGGTCACCACGCCGTGCAGCACTCGCTTCCTGCTCAACCGGAACTGCACCGCTGTTAGCTTCTCATCCAGCACTGGCAGAAGCACTGCACACCTGCACCGCACTCCCATCGCTGTCATCATCTCCCCTCCCATCCTCCCTCCTCTCAACCTCCCTCCTCTCAACTTCCCTCTTCTCGACCCCCCTCCTGTCAGCCTCCCTCCTGTGAGTGTCCCTCCTGCCCCGCTTCTCCCTCTCTCCCCATCTCCACCACCTCCTGTCCGCCACTCCTCACAACCCATCTCAACCTCCTCGTCCTCCCTTTTCCTCCTCTCCTCCTCATCGCCCCTCTCTTCTACCTCCTCGCCTTCCTTTGCTCCCTCTGCCTCTGCCTCTCCCCTCCTTCCCACCCGTCTCCCGTCCTCCTCTTTCCCCTCCCTCTTCCCGCACCGCTCCAGCTCCTTCAGGATCGCTTCGGCTTCCCGTTGCGCTGCCTTCTTCTTTCCTTCCTTCCCCAGTTTCCCACCCTTCACCCCCTCCCCACCACCCGCCCCCACCTTCCCGCCGCTCTTGCACCACTCCAGCTCCCTCAGGATCGCTTCGTCCTCTTCTATGCTGGTCGGCATCTGCTGCAGCCGCGCCTGCGCTAGCAGACGAATGGTGTCGGCTGCTGCTTGCAGGGCGGGCAGCATGTCAGGGGCGGGCGAGGAGAGGAACCGGCACGTGCTGTTGCTGACGGCCCATCCCAGGTAGACTGCTGAGCTGGTCAGCACTGCAGGGGGGTCTGTGTGGGAGAAATGGGAAGAGGAGGGGGAGCAAGAGGGGTTGAACTTGGGGGTGGGAGGGAAGGCGCGAGGAGAGGTGCTGGCAGGTGCTGTTGCTGACAGCCCATTCCAGGTAGACTGCTGAGCTCGTTAGCACTGCAGTGCAGGGTGGTCTGTAAAATGGGGGAAGTGCGAAGAGCAGGGGGGGGGGAGAAGGGGTGGGAGGGGGAAACGGGTGAGGAGAGGCATTGACAGATGAGGTGCTGTTACTGACTGTCTATCCCAGGTGCTGTTACTGACTGTCTATCCCAGGTGCTGTTACTGACTGTCTATCCCAGGTGCTGTTACTGACTGTCTATCCCAGGTGCTGTTACTGACTGTCTATCCCAGGTGCTGTCACTGACTGTCTATCCCAGGTGCTGTACTGACTGTCTATCCCAGGTGCTGTTACTGACTGTCTATCCCAGGTGCTGTTACTGACTGTCTATCCCAGGTGCTGTTACTGACTGTCTATCCCAGGTGCTGTTACTGACTGTCTATCCCAGGTGCTGTCACTGACTGTCTATCCCAGGTGCTGTTACTGACTGTCTATCCCAGGTGCTGTTACTGACTGTCTATCCCAGGTGCTGTTACTGACTGTCTATCCCAGGTGCTGTTACTGACTGTCTATCCCAGGTGCTGTTACTGACTGTCTATCCCAGGTGCTGTTACTGACTGTCTATCCCAGGTGCTGTTACTGACTGTCTATCCCAGGTGCTGTTACTGACTGTCTATCCCAGGTGCTGTTACTGACTGTCTATCCCAGGTGCTGTTACTGACTGTCTATCCCAGGTGCTGTTACTGACTGTCTATCCCAGGTGCTGTTACTGACTGTCTATCCCAGGTGCTGTTACTGACTGTCTATCCCAGGTGCTGTTACTGACTGTCTATCCCAGGTGCTGTTACTGACTGTCTATCCCAGGTGCTGTTACTGACTGTCTATCCCAGGTGCTGTTACTGACTGTCTATCCCAGGTGCTGTTACTGACTGTCTATCCCAGGTGCTGTTACTGACTGTCTATCCCAGGTGCTGTTACTGACTGTCTATCCCAGGTGCTGTTACTGACTGTCTATCCCAGGTGCTGTTACTGACTGTCTATCCCAGGTGCTGTTACTGACTGTCTATCCCAGGTGCTGTTACTGACTGTCTATCCCAGGTGCTGTTACTGACTGTCTATCCCAGGTGCTGTTACTGACTGTCTATCCCAGGTGCTGTTACTGACTGTCTATCCCAGGTGCTGTTACTGACTGTCTATCCCAGGTGCTGTTACTGACTGTCTATCCCAGGTGCTGTTACTGACTGTCTATCCCAGGTGCTGTTACTGACTGTCTATCCCAGGTGCTGTTACTGACTGTCTATCCCAGGTGCTGTTACTGACTGTCTATCCCAGGTGCTGTTACTGACTGTCTATCCCAGGTGCTGTTACTGACTGTCTATCCCAGGTGCTGTTACTGACTGTCTATCCCAGGTGCTGTTACTGACTGTCTATCCCAGGTTATTTGTGAAGTTTATCCAAAATGCACTGCTTACTGCTTATAGACCCATCTCGTTGATGCAGCAGGTCGTAGAACACAGCAGCAAGCGCAGCAATCAGATTGGAGCCCATACCCACCTCCCTGCCCGCCTCACCTGTCCGGCCAGAGATCGCACCTCGTTGATAGTGCAAGTAGTAATACACAGCAGCAAGGGCAGCGATGAGATTGGGCTCCACGAGCCCTCTCGCCCACACCGCCACGCCCACCCTGCCCTCCTTGTCCGCCTCTGTCCTCTCCTCCACGCCCCCCAGCACCTCCTCCACCTCGCTCACTCTCCTGATCCGCTGCATCAACTCAAACGGTGGGCCGCCACTCTCCGCGGCGCTGTAGAACTTCCCACCCTCCTCCTCTCGCTCCCTCACCACGGCCTCCACTGCCCGCGCTGCCACCCGCCACAGCTGCCGCTTCAGCTGATGCAGAGGAATAGTCGTGTTCCCTGCACCAGCACCAGCGCCAGCACCAGCACCAGCGCTAGCACCACCAGCAGCTGCTGCAACACTTCCCCACACGTGCAGCAGGTTCTGTTTGACCTCTTCCCGCCAAGGAACGGAAGGGCTGGCAACACTGCCAGCTGTAGCATCAGCTGCAGCCTCGGCTGAATCCTCGGCTGTACTCTCAGAAGTGGCAGCTGTAGCAGCATCAGCAGCACTGCATGTGTGCTTCAAATTACTAGACCCAACAGCAGCAGCAGCAGCAGCAGCAGCAGCAGCATCGCAGGCATCCTTTATCTCGTGCTTGGCAGCAGCAGAAGCAACATCGCAGCGTCCTATACTTCCTTTCTTGCTCGCCACACCGCCACAAACAACATCATCATCACCACAACCAGCGCCACCAAAGGCAGCTGCTATGGCCTCGTCTCCTTCTCCTCCCGCTCCTCCTGCTCCTCCCTCTAACCCCCCCTGCCCTTGCTGCTGTGCTGCCAGCTCAACCCCTCGCTGCTGCTTCATCCCATGGTGGACGAGAGTGGCCACGAGGCGAACAGCGTGGGAGAGCGAGGGCAGCAGCGGCGCATGGTCGAACATGTTCCCCATCAGCACAAAGCCATACGCCTCCAGCAGATCCTCGTTGCCCCTCAGCCCGTAGCTCGTGCTCACCTCCTCTCCCCGCGCCACAGACACTGTTGCCCCAAACTCAAAGGTATCCCCATCAGCGCCAAACTGCAGGCGTGTGTGTGGTGGGTGGGGGGAGGGGGGGGGAGGGGGAGGGGAGGGGGGTTGTGGTTGGGGTTGGAAGAGGAGGGTGGGGGAGGGAAGTTCTGAGAGGAGGTTGAGAGTAGGAAAAGGGGGAGTGCGGGGAAGGGAGGAACGGAGTAAAAAACGACAGCACTAGTCATAGAACATTCACACGGCAAGCACAGTAGGTAGGTACCGAGTAGGCGGTTTGGTTTGGAAGCCGTCGCAGCACCGTTGAGAATTCTCAAAAGAGATCACAAAGAGCTCGATTTTCGAGATGTCTCAGAAAGGCACGGTACTGAATAGGTGATTTGGGGTTGGTTGCTGTGGTCAAAGTAATCTGCTGGCGGCAGCAGCAGCAGCAGCAGCAGCAGCAGCAGCAGCAACAACAGCAGCAATGAATATAGCACATTCACGTCGTGGGCACGGTACCGAGTAGGCAGTTTGAAAGTCGTTGCTGTGGTCAAAGAACTCTGCAGGCGGCACCAGCAGCACCGCACTCTTCTTCAGCCGCATCTCCTCCACTGCCCCCGACGCCCCTGAACCTCCCCCTGAACGTCCCTCCGAACCTCCTCCCGACCCTCCGCCCGACCCTTCCCCGGAACCTCCCCTCCATGCTTCTACAGGTTCATCCACCGCACCAGGGTCTGTCCGTTGGTACAGCACCACATTCCCCCACCGCGGGTCCTCGAAGCCTCTGGACTGAACGACAGAGAGCGCCCACATGAACTCGTGCAGGGAGGCATTCGCCAGCACTGTTGGGCCGCAGCGGCGGTACTCAAACTCGTAGCTCGCCAGATTGTGGCGCACCTGGTGGGTTGGAGAGTGGGGGAGGGGGGGGACGCGAGGAAAGGTAGACAATGGGGGGGGAGATGATGACGTGGCTCAGCAGAGCATGTTAGAGCATGACAGAGCATGACAGAGCATGACAGAGCATGACAGAGCATGACAGAGCATGACAGATCACGACAGAGCATGACAGAGCATGACAGATCACGACAGAGCATGACAGAACTTCTAGTGTAGGCACGAGTGAAGCGAAGGCGTTTCTCACAACAATGTTCACACATAATATACTGTCTGCTCTGCACTGTAGCTTCGTTCTTCCTCTGTTGCGTCATAACCGTTTGTTTTAAGAGTATTTTTGGTAATTTCACTTGAAGGTTCCAATTTCAGCAGAACTTTCAAAAACAATAACTTTTTGCTCTCACTTCACTCTCTTCACTACCAAAACACACACACACACACACACACACACACACACACACACACACACACACACACACACACACACACACACACACACACACACACACACACAGCTTTTACAATCGACGGAGCCTGAAACTCCTCCAGAGTCTCCTGCTCAAAGAAGTAAGGCAGGGGAGGACGTGGCACGGCAGCAGCTGCAGGTATGGCCACGGTAGGCAGGGGGTCACTCACTCACAGCATTCACCACCACTCACTGTTTTCACGATTGAAGGGGCCTGCAGCTCCTCCAACGTCTCTTCCTCAAAGAAGTACGGCAGCGGGACGTGGCGGGGCAGCAGCTGCAGGTACGGCCACCAGAAGGACTCCGTCCTCGTTTTAAGCATCTCCCTTAGCAGCCACGCGGCTGCTACAGTGAAGGCCCACACGGGCCCGGGGTAGGGGGGTCCCCCTATGGCTTGCAGCATGGCGGGGGTGGTGACCCAGAGGGAGGAGGGGATGGAGAGCAGGACCGAGTCCTCCTCGTGATCCCTCTCTGCCCGCACTGACATCTGGCGCCTGGAATGAGCGTGAAGGGGGAGGGATGGCACAAGCGCAAAAGAAAAAACCAAGACCAATCTTGGGATCCCCTTATGAACTGAAGCATGGTGGGCGTGGTTACCCAGAGGGAGGAGGGGATGGAGAGGAGCACTGAGTCCTCCTCGTGATCCCGCCCTGCCCGCACCGATAGCTGGCGCCTGGAATGAGCATGTAAGGGAAGGGGCGGCACAAGGCACACAAGACACAGGAGCACTCTTGGGATCCAGAGGGAGGAGGGGATGGAGAGGAGCACCGAGCCCTCCTCGTGATCCCGCCCTGCCCGCACTGCCAGCTGGCGCCTGCATGCGGGGTGGCAGGGGGGAGTGCGACAAAGGATGGCAGAGGAGGGATCGAAGGGAAAGAGAGAGGCCAAGAGCGCGGTTTGGTGTGGAGAGAGGAATTCGGTGCAGATCGGGGGAGGGAGGGTGGCATGTAAGGCATCGATTGGACATTTGCCTCGGACTCACCTCCCATCCCTCACCTGCCATAAGGGGCATGTACGGATTCGGACATGACACACATCACCCTCATTGTATTCAACCCACCCATTTCCCTTACATGTCGACTCAAAAATAGGCTCATCACACCTGGCATGCATGGATCGAACATGACATGACACACATTACTCCACCCGGCTTTCCCCTCCGTGCTTTCAATCCATTTGCCCAGCTCGCCTGCTTTCAACCCAATCGGTCCGGAAGGGGGGTGGGTGGGCGGGCATGCACGGAGCATGCACGGATCCGGCATGACACACATCACTCCACCCGGCTTTCCCCTTCTTGACTTTTGAGTCGACTCAAAAGATCGGACATGACACACATCACTCCACCCGGCTTTCCCCTTCTTGACTTTTGAGTCGACTCAAAAGATCGGACATGACACACATCACTCCACCCGGCTTTCCCCTTCTTGACTTTTGAGTCGACTCAAAAGATCGGACATGACACACATCACTCCACCCGGCTTTCCCCTTCTTGACTTTTGAGTCGACTCAAAAGATCGGACATGACACACATCACTCCACCCGGCTTTCCCCTTCTTGACTTTTGAGTCGACTCAAAAGATCGGACATGACACACATCACTCCACCCGGCTTTCCCCTTCTTGACTTTTGAGTCGACTCAAAAGATCGGACATGACACACATCACTCCACCCGGCTTTCCCCTTCTTGACTTTTGAGTCGACTCAAAAGATCGGACATGACACACATCACTCCACCCGGCTTTCCCCTTCTTGACTTTTGAGTCGACTCAAAAGATCGGACATGACACACATCACTCCACCCGGCTTTCCCCTTCTTGACTTTTGAGTCGACTCAAAAGATCGGACATGACACACATCACTCCACCCGGCTTTCCCCTTCTTGACTTTTGAGTCGACTCAAAAGATCGGACATGACACACATCACTCCACCCGGCTTTCCCCTCCTTGTGTTCAACCCATTTGCCTCGACTCACCTCCCGTCCCTCACCTGCTTTCCTGCCCGTCATTGCCCGTCGTCTCGTTCCAAAAGACAATCTGCCAGCACAGCACGGGCAGTGGGTCTATTTTGGTGCGACTTTTGAGAATTCTCAATAGTGGGTCTATTTATGAGTCGACTTACAAAAAGACTCGTTCCAGAAGACAATATGCAGCACAGTGTTAAAATATATATTGTGTGTAGCATGCCAACACATGTGACTGTACACCAATTGTGGTGTACAGTTGGGTTGGGACTACACCCAACTTTGGGTGTAGTCTTGCACTTTGGGGTGCCAATCCACCCAATTGTGGTGGAGCCCCCAAATGCAACCCTCTTGACTTGTGGGTACCTCGCTTCCCATCATTGAGGTTACCCCAAGCCAAGTGGGCCTAGGGTTGCCTCACTTCTACAAAGTGTGGGCAACCCAACCCACTTGACCTATGGTTCCCTCACTCCCCCAAGTGAGGTCAACCCAACCTATGGTCACTTTCATCTTTCCCTTCCAACCTTTTCTTCCAACAATGTATGCTAGGTTGCTCCTCTAATCTAATCACTTGTTCAATTCACATGGTATAGAGCTAGTTGTTCCTAAGCCTTAACTCCCTCTCTCAAAGTTTTTCTTCCCCATGGGCCCACCCCACAGCCACAAACCCCCTACGTGTGGCTCAACCTAGCATCTCCTTGGCACGACCTACGCCGTCGCTGCCCTTCCCTCCCTCCGCCATGATTGCGCCCTCCTCGCCTGCGGATCCCACCGCCGCGAGTGCATCACCGCCTCCCGTCGCCGCCCCCCCCCCCCCCCCCCCCCCTTTTTTTCCGCCGCCGCGCCTTCTCCGGCGCCGCCTGCGCATCCCGCCGCGACGCCTCGTCGCCGCCTCCTCCTCCCCCTGCCGCGACCCCCCGTCGCCGTCTCCCCCCCTCCCGCCGCCGCGCCTACTTCGGCGTCGCCCGCGCATCCCTTCGCCGCGACGCCCCGTCGTCGCCTGCCCCTCCCGCTGCCGCGACGTCGCGTCGCTGCCTCCCCCTATCGCCGCCGTGCCTTCCTCGGCGCCACCTGCGCATCCCGCCTCCGCGACGCCCCGTCGTCGCCTCCCGTCCCGCCGCCGCGACTTCGCGTCGCCGCCTGCACGCCCCGTCGCCGCGACCTGCCGTCGCCGCCTACGCATCCCGCCGCCGCGACCCGCTCGTCGCCGCCTGCACGACCCGCCGCTGCGACTTCGCGTCGCCGCCTGCGCATCCCACCGCCGCGACCTTCTCGTCGCCGCCTGCACGACCCGCCGCCGCGACTTCGCGTCGCCGCCTGCGCATCCCGCCGCCGCGACCTTCTCGTCGCCGCCTGCACCCCTTGCCGCCGCGACCTAAAGTCGCCGCCCGCGCGACCTACTGCCGCGACCTGCTCGACGCCGCCCGCACATCCCGTCGCCGCAACCTAAAAATCGCCGCCCGCGCATCCTACCGCCGCGACCTGCTCGTCGCCGCCCGCGCATCCCGCCGTCGCGCCTTCCTCGTCACTGCCCGCTCATCCCGCCGCCGCGATCTGCACGTCGCCGCCCGCGCATCCCGCCGCCGCGCCTTCCTCGTCGCCGCCCGCCCATTCCGCCGCCACGATTTGCTCGTCGCCACCCGCGCATCCCGCTGCTCCTACTTGTCCCCGCCTGCCCCCACCACCCCCCTGCAGATTCCGCCGCCGCAGCAGCAGCGTCATTGGCAGCAACAGCCCCGCCCACAGCTACAACTGCGTTCTCCCTCCCCTTCCCCCTTTCCTCCTCCTCCCCTCCCACGCAGCAGCAGCCGGGACAGCTCAGCAGCCACAGCAGCAATAGCGGCAGCAGCAGCAGCATCAGGAGCAGCGGCAGCAGCGGCAGCAGCTGCATCCACTATCTTCCTCCCCCTTCACCTCCTCCCCCCCCCCCCCCTTCCTCCCTCTCAGCAGCAGCGGCAGCAGCGGCAGCAGCGGCCGCAGCGGCAGCAGCGGCAGCGGCGGTAGCAGCGGCAGCAGCAGCAGCATCAGGAGCAGCGGCAGCAGCTGCATCCACTATCTTCCTCCCCCTTCCCCTCCTCCCCCGCCCCCCTCCTCCCTCTCAGCAGCAGCGGCAGCAGCGGCAGCAGCAGCAGCAGCCGGAGAAGAGCTCCACTCCCCGCAGCAGCACCTCCCCCCCCCCCCCCTCCCCCCCTCCTCTCTCTCGGCTGCCTCGGGTCCACCCGCCGTCGCCCTCCCCCTTGACCGCCGCGGGTCCACCCGCCGCCGTCCAACTCGAGGCCACCGCAGGTCCACCCGCCGTCGCCTCTCATGGCTACCACTCCTCCCCCTCTCCCCCCTCCCATTGACGCCTCCTCCGTCGACAAGCTTCAGCTTGCCGCGGACCGCTCGGCGATCAACTGGCACTCCTTCGTCGAGAGCATCCGCCGTGTTCTCCAGGATGCATTCGTCGGACCCTACTGCGTCCTCGACATCCTCCTCCGCCGCCCGCAAGCCCTCCAGCCCACGGCACCCAATCACCCCGGCGAACCCCCTCCACCCCCCATTCCTCCTGGTCCTCCTCCTGCTGAACCCACCTTGGAGATCGCCACTACCCCAGCGCTCCACAGTGCCGCCGATGCCGCCTTTCTCCACGATCGTCGCGAGTACCTCATCCGCAAGGCGGAGCATGAGGTTGCGGTCCATAACCACGACTTCGCGGTAGCGGAACGCGCCAATCGCCTGGCGCTCCTTGATGAGTACAATACGGCCATGGCAGACTACCTCCCTAGGAGCATCGCATGGGCCACTGCTGACAACCGCGCCTGCACCATCCTCCTCGGCGCACTCCCTGATACCCTCATGCGCCGTTTCCAAGCTCGCGAGATGCGCGCCTCCCTCATCTGGGCCGAGCTCCAGGCGATGTTCGAGCGTCGCGACATCAGCTCTGTCCGCGCCCTGTTCGAGGAGTACTTCTCCATCCCCCTCGCCACTTGTGATGGCGCAATTGACTACGTGGGGCGCATGCAGGAGGTCGCTGATCGCCTTGCGGCACGCCAAGCTGCCCTCCCCGAGCCATTGCAAATCCACCGCCTCCTCTTCAACCTCACCCCGGACTACGAGTCCCGCCTCCATGCCTTCACTGAGGCGAACGCCTTGGCCGGCCTCAACGACGTGGTCCAGTGGATCATTGACACGGAAGTCAAGCTCCGCACCTCCGTTGTCAACCTTACCACCCCTCAGTCCTCCTCCTCCAGCTCCCTCAACGCTACGCAGCCGCGCAACCACGGTGGTCGCAGCGGCGGCGGCGGAGGCCGTGGAGCGGGCGGTGGTGGTGGTGGAGGCCGCGGTGGTGGCGGTGGTGGTGGTGGTGGTGGTGGTGGTGGCCGTGGTGGCCGTGGTGGCGGTGGTGGTAGTGCTAGCAGCGCCCTTGCTGGAGGACCTTCCTGTGCTGGTGGTGCTGTGACTCGAGGCGGACGCCTTGGCACTCTCCCCCCATGCACATATGTGCGCCGTCATGGTCCCCGTGCTGGTACCCCTTGCGGCCAGACCAACCATCCCCCCACCACGTGCTTTAAGGCACTCGTCGACGCCTGGTTTGATCGAGGCAACACTGGCACCCCTCCTCGCTGGAACTCGGTCACACCTCGCCCCTCCTTAGTGGACATTCAAACCCTCCCCTCTTTCCTTCCTGCTCACCTCCGCCTGGTTACCCCCTCCCCACCTTCACAGCTGCAGCAGTTTCAGCAGCACCAGCAGCAGCAGCACCTGTACTTCCACCAGCAGCAGCAGCAACAGCAGCAGTTTCTCCAGCCCCAGCAGCCGCCGCCGCCGCAGTTCTTCCAGCCACCGCCGCAACAGCAGCAGCAGTTCCTTCCCCCACCCTGGCAGCAGCAGCCACTTACCTTCGGCACAGCGGCCATGGCCGCTCATACCTCCCTTCCTCCTGCTCCCCCCTGGGGTTCTCTCCCCTCTGCCCCCCCCCAGTGTTCCCGATACTTCGGGTAGTTTCCTTGGTAATATCAGTGTTGCACCGTCCGTCGCTGCCATGTATCCCTCTGCTATCAATGAGACTTCGTTTCAGTATCCCGTCCCACCTCCTCCTCCCTCTTCCCCCACCCTGGACTTTGTCCTTGACAGTGAGCCACTGAAACCGCACTGAAAGACGCTGGCACTCTCACCTCACTCCCACTTCCCACTCAGGTTCATGGCGCTGATTCCAGCTTTTCCATTCCATGCACTCACCTCTCCACCCTCCCTTGCACTGCCTTCCCCTCCGGTAAGGTCACAGGTCTCCATATCCCCACTCTCCGCAACAACCTCCTCTCCCACCGTGAGCTCCAAGGTGTTGGTATCACTGCCATTTACCCCGGTTATGCCAATTACTGTGATCTCTACCAAACCTCCTCCGGCCGCTTCCTTCTCCGCATTCGGCTTTGCCCCCGCACTCGCCTCTACACACTCCGCACACCTCGCCCATCCTTCTGCCACGTCACCACTCGTGCCGGTACTTCCACCGGTCCACCTCCTCCTCCTTTACTTCCCCCTTCCCCTCCCCCTCAAGTATCCTCTTCTCCCTCCCCACCGTCCTCCTCCTCCCCTCTCGTTCCTTCCTTCACCCCATCTCCCTCCTCCTCCACTACCCTCTCCCACCCTGCTGTCCTCTTACACCACAGACTCGGCCATCCCAACTTCACCGCCCTTCGCACCACAGTCCTCTCTCGCCTCCTCCGTAGCCTTCCTCCTGTCTTACCTCCCCTCCCCTCCTTCCCCTCTCCCCCATGCCCTTCATGCATTCACGGCAAGCTCAAACAGTCCCCCCACCACAGTCATCCCACCTTCGCCGCCGCCCCCATTGACCTTGTGCACATGGACCTCTGGGACCCCTATCCCATCCGCTCCCGCCAGGGGCATCGGTACATGCTCGTCCTCGTTGACGACCACAGCCGGTACTCCACCACCTTCTTTCTTCACACGAAAGACCAGGTGCCGGCAGTGGTCATCAACTGGGCCGAACAGTGCCGCAATCACTTCAAACGCCCCATCGGCCGCCTTCACTCTGACGGTGGGGGTGAGTTCATCAATAACACACTTGCCACATACTGCAACACCTACGGCATCCAAAAGACCTCCACCCTTCCCCACTCCCCTCAGCAGAACGGCATTGCTGAGAGCCGCATTCGTGAGATCACCAAAATAGCTCGCTGTCTCATTGCTCATGCCTCCACCCCTCCTTCCCTCTGGAGCTATGCCCTCCTCCACGCCGCCCTTCTCCTTAATCTCCGCTCCCACCCTCAGCATCCTTCCTCCTCCCCCATAGAGCTTTGGTCCAACGCCAAACCCGATGCTGCCGGCCTTCGCGTTTGGGGCTGCAAGGCCTTCGTTCTCATCCCACCCGCCGACCGCTCCCGCGCCGCTGGCAAGCTTGCTCCTCGCGCCCTGGAATGCGTTTACCTTGGGCACAATCGCGACTCCCCAGGCTACCTCTTCCTCCACCCTCCCACCAATCGCCTCATCCGCAGCGGCGACGTCGTCTTCGACGAATCCGTTCCCTATTACTCCACTCCTCCCCCTGATCCTCTCCCTCCTCCCGCTCGTCCCCTTGCTTGGACCGACACCGTCCTCCCGCCCCTTCTCCCTCCAGCCCCTCTCCTCCCACCCGTCGTCGCTCCGCTCCCGCCCTCCTCCTCCGCCGATGTCTACGACCCTGCCGCACCCGCTTCCCCCGCTCACTCGGCTGCACCCCCTCCCCCCTCTCCCTCCTCCTCTCCCTCTCCCTCGATCCGGCAGCCGGATCAGCAGCAGCAGCAGCAGCAGCAGTCGGGACAGCAGCCGGGGCAGCAGCAGCAGCAGCAGCCGGGGCAGCAGCAGCAGCAGCAGCCGGGGCAGCAGCAGCAGCCGGGGCAGCAGTAGCAGCAGCGGCAACTGGGACAGCACCAGCAGCAGCAGCAGCAGCAGCAGCAGCAGCAGCAACAAGGGCAGCAGCTTCAACAGCACCAGCAGCAGCAGCGGCGTCGTGCCACTTCCCGCTCCTCCCCCTTCCTCCTCCCTTACATCCTCGCTCTGTGGACAAAATCCTTGGGGCTCCTCCTCTTGCCTCCATTCAGCTCCTTGAGGACTCCCATGAGGAGTTTCTTAACATTCGGGAGCACACTCCGTTCCTTGCCTCCCTCTACCTTGACTTCCTGGGCTTTCCCGTCCTTGGCGCCACCACCACCCCCACCATCTTCACTCCCTCCACCTTCCAGGAAGCCATCACCTGCCCTGATGCGGATAAATGGATCGCAGCGATCTTCCTGGAGTGTGAGGCTTTCATTCGCAACGACTCCTTTGTCGATGTCCCCCTCCCTGCCGGCGCTAACCTCGTTGACGGCAAATGGGTCTTTCGGGTGAAGCAGCTGCCGGGCGAGGAACCAGTGTACAAGGCCCGCTACTGCGCCAAGGGGTTCACACAGACTTGGGCTGAGGACTACTGGTTCACCTACGCCCCCACCGCCAAACCACCCACCCTTCGCGCCGCCCTCGACATTGGTGCACGTGACAACATGGAAATCGATTCCATGGACGTCTCCAATGCATTCCTGCAGGGCGACCTGCATGAGCGCATTTTCCTCCGGCGACCCCCCGAGTTCCATGCAGCCTTCCCTGAGAACACTGTCTGGCAGCTGCGTCGCCCTGTCTACGGCTTGAAGCAGGCACCGCGTGAGTGGCATGCGAAGCTGGCTGCCACCTTAGGGTCTCTCGGCTTCTTTGCTTCCCACTCCGACGCCAGCCTCTTCATCCGCTCCTCCCCCCGCCGCTTCTTCATTCTAGTATATGTGGACGACATGATCCTGCTCTCTAATACTAAGGCCGACATGGAGCAGGTGAAGCTGTCCCTGCAGCAGCGGCTCAAGTGCAAGGACCTTGGCGCCCTCACTCACTACCTCGACATGACCATCACACGCAACCGCCCTGCTCGCACCATCACCCTCTCCCAGTCCCATTAAATCGGCCAGGTCTTGGAGAAGTTCGACATGGCGCAGGCCAAGCTTGTCTCCACCCCCCTCCCTTTCGGCCACCAACTCGTTCCACCCATCTCCCCCACCTCCTCCCCCCACCCTTATGCCGAGCTCGTTGGGTCCGTGATGTACGCAATGATGTGCACCCGCCCCGACCTCGCCTACCCCATCAGCGTGCTCGCTCGCTTTGTCGGCACCGGTCGTCACTCTGAGGAGCACTGGAAAGCTGCCAAGCGGGTCCTCCGCTACCTTCGCGGGACCAGGGACCTTGCCCTCACCCTTGGCGGCCCTTCTCCTCCCCTTCTCTCGGGCTTCAGTGACTCCTCATGGGCTGACACGCAGCCGGACCGCCGCTCCTCCCAGGGCTACGGCTTCACCCTTGGCAGCGGCCTCATCAGCTGGCGCTCCACCCGCTCCTCCGCCATCTCTCTCTCTCCACCTGCGAAGCCGAGCTCTACGCTGGCACCATGGCCGCCCAGGAGTCGCGTTGGCTCTGCTTCCTTCTTGCCGAGCTTGGCGCCCCCCAAACGTGCCCCACTCTCTGGTGCGACAACGCCAGCACCATCCATCTCACTCAGGACCTCGTCTATCACGCCCGCTCTAAGCACATCGAGCTCCGCTACTTCTTCGTTCGCGAGCTTGTCCAGAAGGGCCTCATTGGCGTTCGCAAGATTGCGACCGAGGCCAACTTAGTTGACATCTTCACCAAGGCCCTTCTTCGCCCTGCGCACTCTGCTTTCCTCCGCCTCATTGGCCTTGCTCGCCCGGGCGCCCCTTGATTTAGGGTTTGTTCTCTTCTTGTGTTAGCATGCTAAGGGGTTGTGTTAAAATATATATTGTGTATAGCATGCCAACACATGTGACTGTACACCAATTGTGGTGTACAGTTGGGTTGGGACTACACCCAACTTTGGGTGTAGTCTTGCATTTTGGGGTGCCAATCCACCCAATTGTGGTGGAGCCCCCAAATGCAACCCTCTTGACTTGTGGGTACCTCACTTAGGGATGAGCAAGTGGCGAACACGAACGTGTTCGTGTTCGCCCCTACACGAACACCTTCGTTTGCCGAACCGAACACTGTTCGGTTCGGCGAACACTTAGAGCAAAAAATGGTGTTCGCCGTTCGCCTGTGAAGGTGTGTTCGGGCGAACCTCGAACACTGTTCGTGTTCGTCGCGGGCAAATTGCAGCAGCGGCCCGAACACGAACGTGTTCGGGCGAACATCGAACACTGTTCGGCGAACATTTTAAGCCAAAAAAAAATACCTGTTCGGTTCGCCTCGAAGGTGTTCATTTTTTTGCTCAACCCTAACCTCACTTCCCATCATTGAGGTTACCCCAAGCCAAGTGGGCCTAGGGTTGCCTCACTTCTACAAAGTGTGGGCGACCCAATCCACTTGACCTATGGTTCCCTCACTCCCCCAAGTGAGGTCAACCCAACCTATGGTCACTTTCATCTTTCCCTTCCAACCTTTTCTTCCAACAATGTATGCTAGGTTGCTCCTCTAATCTAATCACTTGTTCAATTCACACACAGCACGGGATGGTGGTGGTGATGCAACGAAAGACAATGGCATATGGCTGTGGAGGGCGTATCACAACCGCCTCGAATCACACCACACCTCAATCGTTCCCCAAGCCTGCCTTTCTGTATTCCACCGTCCTATTGCCTCAGTCACAACCCGCCCGTCACAACGCACCTCAATCCCTGACCCAGGCTTGTTGTAGTCCGCCATGCCATTCGCCCGCACCCACTCCACAAACACCCTCACCCGCTCCTCCTCCCCCATCTCACCCATCCTCTTCCCCGCCACCTCACTCCACACGCCTGCCCTCCCCGTCAGCTCACTGCCGCCCCTGCCAAACCCCATCTGTCTGTCCTCTCCAATCACCCTGGCCTGTGTACCAGACCCTTTTCTTTCTTGCACGTTACCCTCCTTCCCTCCCTGCTCTCCCTCCTTTCCCTCCTCCCTCTCTCCTTCCCTCTCTGTCTCTTCCCTCCCCTCCT